TTGTTATTATTATTATTATTATTAGCAATTATTATTGATTTGGGCTGAATATTTTTTTGTTATCGATAATTCTTGTGGAAATTTTTGCGTTCGAGAGGTGTAAATTATTATTCTTTCATCAGTCACAAATGATGTATTTTCTGAATGTCATAATTGTCATCAGGGATGACATGAGCCGAATGATTAATTGTGCTCATTCTCGGTTAATTATTGTGAGGATTAATTCTGTTGTGGAGTGATGAAGTGGGAAGGGTTGGGCTCTTGTTTCATATCACTATTGAATTAATATAAATATCTCGATATTGCAGCCAGGAGAAAATATCAAAAGAGAATCTCACAAACACAATGTAAAATTAATGAAAAACGTCAAATTTGATTTAACTTCCACGATTTATCACTCCTCAACAGGATTATTTTATAGATATAGCTTTTATTTTTATATCGAAATAAATAAATCAAAAATATCGTTATAATTGTTACCGAAACTAGTTTTAATGCCTAATGCAATCATTCTTGATTCTCTCATCGAGTAATTTTTGTTTGATGTATTATATGTGTATATAAAAGTTCAAATTTACGCAGATTCATTATTCCGTCACTATTCTTATTTCATTTTTATCAAGAGATAATCAATAAAAAATTTTGAAGATAAAATTTCCTTATTATGTCCAAACTATCAAGAAAAATTAATATTTGGAGGGAGCGAGTATTTGAGAAAAGAAAAAAAAATTCGATTTGTCTTTTTTTGTAAATTTTATTTATATTGTGGAATAGAGTCGTGTGGCCATAAATTAATAGTTCTTAGCGAGAATTCCGTCCTTCTTGCCTAGGCGAACGATGCAGTCGTCGGACTCACCCTGAAACATTAATTAAAATAATTAGAATCAATCAAAACGTTTTTCCATCCTAAATTGATTGACATGAGTTTTAAATCCGATTAAACATGAACTTATCTCGTTAATTGGTGGATTTAGACGAAAAAGTGAGAAGAAATTTTTTGCAGGAAATTCAATTCTCTATAAAAAGTATTCAGCAAATTTTTGTCCAAACCCAGTCATTACCGAGATAATCGCATAATTAAAAAGATGTTCAAACTGCACTCGATGAAACATCGGTATCAACAGTCCCATCAATTTCCCAATTATCTCGTTAACCCCTGGATTTGGGGAAAAATGTCAAGAGACATTTTTCATGGGAAATTTAATCCTCTCCAAAAAATGTCCTATGAAATTTCCTCCTAAACCCACTCACTCCCGAGATAAATCCCACCTACAAAATCCTCTTCTTTCCCCCCTCCACAAAAAACAACTAATTAACCAAAATAAATTAATTACCATACGACGAATGGCTCCACAGATCGCGTACATCTTGTGTTGTCCAGTCATGCGTCCAGTGGTTGGATCAACATCAGCAAGAGTCAGCTGAATGGACGCATGGTCTTTGGCGTGAATGATTCTGTTGCTCGAGGAGCTGAAAACACAAGGCATAACCTCACTTCTATTCTCACTCATCCCCTGCAATTTTCCCTTCCAAAAACGTCCAGAAGGGTACAAAAAACGTCCCCAATTGAGCCCCTCGCAATTATAGAACTAATTAGATAATTAAATCTACGAGAAAATTATAAAAAAAAAAATTGAGGGAGAAGCACGTGTGACACTCACCATTTCCTCGGCCAGTACAGGTCGACGAATTCTCTCGCGTCGTTTTCCATTTTCTACCTGATAAAATACCCGGAAAATTACCAATTAATACTCCACAAAATTAATGGGAAGAACTTGGGATTAATTAATTAATCAGAAATTATTTGCGTTTACGTACTGTCGAGGGTTCTCACGCAGGGTTCCAAACCGGAAAGAGGGAGCCAGGAAGAGATTTTCGATATATCGAGAGCGACACTGCCGCCATCTTCAGGACGCAAAACCGCGGGAATATTTTTTTAAATTGAATCTTCGAAATTTTAAGAAGGTTGATCAGTTGTTTTTAGTTGAAATGATTGAAATGATTTGGTAACTGGGAATTATCTGGGGAATAAGTGGTTTTGGGAGAAAATGTCACAAGACATTTTTTGTGGAGAATTGAATTTTCTACAAAAAATGTTCTGTGAGATTTTTGTCTAAGCCCACTCATTATCGAGATAATTGGGTAATTACTGAAGGTTTCATTATGACGTTCTATCGGATTCGTTTTTAACATGTTGTTAATTATCTCGATAATGAGTGGAATTAGAAGAAAATGTTCTCGACACTTTTTGTAGAAAACTAAATTTTCTACAAAAAATTTCTTCCGACATTTTTGTCTAAATCCACTAACTAACGACATAATTGGGCAATTAACACAACTCTTAATTCCAATGTTTTATCGAGCTCACTTTTCGTATCTCGTCAATAACGCGATTATCTCGATAATGACTGGATTTAGGAGAAAATGTCCAGCATACTTATTGCAGAGAATTAAATTTTCTACAAAAATGCCTCATAACATTTTCTCCTAAAGCTGATAGTTCTGGAGGTAACCGCGTGCATAATGAGTCGACAATCAACCTATTGAAACGAAGAGTGAAACTTGACCTTTCTTAACCGAAAAAAAATCATTAAATCGAAAACAAATTATAAAAAAAATTGAAAAAATTTAAACAATCGTCCCGTTGGACCGTGCTGCCCCCTCCAACCCGCGAGCCTCACTCAGGTGCATCACCACCGCGGTGGAACGTCGAGTCCGTAGTCATCGGACGACCGATCGCGGCCGCTGATGTGTCTCGCGGCTCCTCCCTCAGTACTATGAGCCCCATCCGCGAAAGCCATCGATATTCGTCGGCAATTCCCCATAAAATATCCTGCCCACACGTCTCGTCGCGTTCGCAGCATCGCGAGAATTTTTTTTCATCATGAATTCGCGAAGTGGCAGGCGGTAGTGACAAGTGCCTCGGCAATGTGCAGTTAAAAAAAATTCATATTTTTTTAGTTCAATATTTTTGCCCAATCGCGACAACTATCCAGTCTATTTTCATCAATTAAAAATGTCCATGAAGGTAATTACACCAATATTTCATTAACATCGCGATAAAAAATTTGTTTCGCGAGATTTTTTTTTTCACTTTGGAAACACTAAATTGAGGCGAATGTCAATAGAGCGCCCACAAATTCCTTATCTCTCATCAATATTAACGCTCGTCGGGGACATGCGTGTTCCATTAACACGTGTTAAAAGACGTAAATAATTTATGAGACGCGCGAGTCCGGGAAAAGTCGTTCTTTTGATCTTGCACATGAAATGCAAATTTCCGTCTACTTAATTAGTCATTAGCGAAAAAATTAACTCAACTGTTTTCACGACCGTGATCTACATACATCCATCAACTTTCGAAATCTTTTGATTTTTTTTATTTGTCGGCTGATTAATGGAGATTGATTAATAGAAAGAATCTCCGTGGGACGTGGAGCTGCATCTGTCAGCGGCACGTGGTGACTCGAAACGTCTTCGGGTTCTCCTTGAGTCGGGACGGGTTCATATTGACTGTAAAGATAAGGTGAGTCTTCCAAATTCCGTAGATTGATGGAAAAAAAATGAGACTCGGCTTTTATCATGAAAAAAGAGCAGAAGAAAACATTTACTTTTCGTACTAGGACGAAAAAGAGGACTTTACAAAATCGATTGAAAAATAGAACTTTTTTATCACACGTGCACGTAAAGTTTGTATTTTCTTTTCTATTGAGAGGGAGAAAAAAATTACTTCTTGTCCTAGGATGCAAAAAAAAAAGATATCGCGCCGTAGGACTTCCTGAACACAAAATCAAATTAAAAAAAGAAGTTTCCATCGCGCCTGAATTAAAAGTTTGCATTTCCCCCTTGATAAGAAGGAGAAAATGATTACTTTTCGTCCTAGGATGGAAAAAAGAGCGATTTCCTGCTCTAGGACTGTACGAATGCAAAAAAAAATTTCGAAATCCAGTTCCTATCACACCTGTGCGTAAAGTCGGTGTTTCGCTTCCTAAGAAGAGGGAGAAAACTCTACTTTTCATCTTAGAACGGCAAGACTTGGAATTAATAAATTAAATAATTAACGAAATTCATTTTTAATTCAGGACGGCACGACCCCGCTCATATTGGCGGCCGCTGGGGGCCATATTGAAGCTGTAACCGAGCTATTACAACAAGGGGCGGATCCTAATGCCAAAAGGCTGGTAAGTTCTGGTTGTGACCCCTTGTTGTGGGGCCGTCCACCCGAAAAAAAAAAAAATAAAATAATGAATGGCTGTGGATGAATGACTCTCCACTTGGCCCATGATACCCTGTTATTTACGAGTCCTTCTACACAAATAGAATTTATTTTCTACTCTTCCCCCACTATTCGCTTTACACCAAGATCATTATTATTATTATTATTATTATTATTATTATTATTATTATTTACTCGTTAATGAGACCGCTATAATATTAAACATTATAAATAAAATATTTATTAAAATATTTTTTAAAATATTAAAGATTATTATTATTATGCCAATTTAACACTTACAATTTTTTTAGGGGTGGGGTCAATAATGACCCCATCCTATGAACAAAAAAAAAATTTTTTTTTTAATGAAAAAAATAATTAATGGAACAGAATTTTTCAGAAACCGGAAAAAATGTTTGCGTTTTTTTAAAAGTAGTGTAGGAGAGAGACAAATTTCAACAATGTAGATCGGAATTTTTTTCAATTTTTTTTTTCGACTTTTTATGGGCGGTAGAGAGATAAAAATAACCGGAAAAACAAGTAAAAAAGAAGATAAAATACGAGGATAGACTCACGAATGAATCCTCCAACTGTCGTTGACCTCAAAGAGAAGAGGAACCTTCTCGCACACGTTGAGGAATTACGTAAAACGGTTAACTCACGGGTTTTAAAACCGCCGGACCATTACGCAATACCGAACAGCCTCTGGGCTGGAGTGATTTTTTGTTAGCAACACTCCGTTGATCTCCCCTCCTGTCTCATGCACTCTCCTCCAGTTTCATAAATAATTTTCAATCATGAGCGCTCGCTTCCGTGACTATTTTCACATTTTTCAAGTCACTTAAAATTTTTATTTTTTTCATCAAATCCATTTCATTCAATAGATTAGAAAATTCGATCTGAAATAAAAATTAAAAAACCCGTTTTGCCCCCCCCCCATTTCTATTTCACGAGTAACATTCAGAATTAATTTTTGAGTGGAAAGAGTTATTTGACTGTAACTCAGAAAATTAATGGGGTAAAATGGGTCGTTTGGATGGGGTCATTATCGACCCCGTCCCATGAAATTCTAAATGTTGAGAACTTTTTTATTTTTCGGGTAATAATCGGATACTCTAATTTTCTTTGGAATTTTTTTCGTCAGTCTTTGTTGATTTATGTTAATGAAGAGAATGGGAATTTGTAAGGGGAGGGAGTTGATGTCCATTGAAATTCCAGTCACGTGAGAGTCAAACGTATTTTTCACTCCCATTTTTCACGGCTCGTATGAAGGTGAAACTACGGTCTCGGTGTGTTCTAGAATTTCAGTGGCTTTTGTAATGGATATACCGGTCCATGGGGCACGTGAATATTAATTTTACCGAGACCAAATGAAGTTGAAGTAATAACTAATAGCATTAACGTGAGAAAGAAAGGTTTTTGAGGATCAAACAATTCGCAAGAATGGTTAAGGGTAAGGGTCAAATGGTTTCGAGAGTCGAACGGATTAGGTCAGAGTAATTAGAAAGGGTCAATTGACCTTCAAGACAATTTAACCCTCGACTAAAAATAATTGAAAAAAATCAAGGGTCGTTTGACCCTCAAAACGTCGTTTACTACTTGAAAAAAAAATAAACTGAACGTGTTTTTTTTTCAATTTCCGTTGCAGACTTCAACAACAGCTCTATTTTTCGCAGCCCAAGGGGGCTTTGTTGACGTTGTTAATTTATTAATTGAGCACGGAGCAACTGTCGACTCCTGCAGCATCGTACGTACTTCATATTTTAAATATTTCAACTTCTACCGCGCCCACTTCATTTGCATTTATTCCCATTAATTTTGATTGATTGACGCCCGTTCTAATTCTGATGATTGATCTCATCGATAGGACGGCGGCACCCCTCTCTTCGTGGCATGTCAATGCGGTCATCTGGATGTTGTCGAGAGCATGATCGAGAGGGGGGCGAATGTTAATGCGCATATGAAGGTAATACAAGAAATCTTTCTGTCACAACGAAAAAAAAATCGTAAAAAACGTGATGTACACTGAGGCTTATTTTTTATGCCAATTTGTTTGAAAAAAATATTTTTCAAGCGGGAGAGGGGAGGAGTCAATAATGACCCTATCCTATAATTTTAAAAAATTGAAAATTTCATCAATAATTAATTATAATCAGTCCAATAGAATTTTTGAAAAATAAAAAAAATCTCTCATTTTTTAAAATGCCGAATTAACGTTTTCAAAAAACAATTTTTTGAGTACGAGGAGGGAGGGGTCAATAATGACCCCATTTCATAAACGAAAAAAAAATCTAAAATTTTTTTAAAATGAAAAAAAAAATTAACGAAATCGAATTTTTTAAAAATTAAGAAAACTTTCTCTTCGCGAAATTTTTTTCTTCCAACGAAAAAAAAAAAATTGCAATATGCGTGATGTTTACACCGGAGTCTCTAGTCTTTTTTGCGGATTTATTGATTTACGAGAGGAGGGGTGGCTTTACGTAGGACGGAGCGACAGCGCTATTTATAGCGTCTCAGAACGGTCACGTGCGGATTCTGGAGGTTTTGCTGGAGCACGGGGCAAAGACCGACGCTGCGAGAACCGATGGGGCCACACCACTGTGGATTGCAGCGCAAATGGGACACGATCATGCTGTCAGAAGGCTCCTCAAGGCTGGGGCCAAGGTCGACGCCACGAGACACGTAAATAAAGAGACTTCGAGGACTTTCCACGGAAGCGAGACTCTAGAGGAGTTATGATTTTATTTTTTTTCAGGATGGGGCGACACCGCTATTCAAGGCGTCTCATAAGGGCCATACGGCGGTTATTGGGGAGCTGCTCAAGTATCGGCCGTCCCTAGGAATTCTTCCGGTAAAGTCGAGGATAATAGGGACATGATTTTTTTAAATATTTTAATTTTTTTGGATATGGGTGATTTAATCAATGAATAAGTCCAGATGAATAAAAAAATTATATCTTCGATACAGCTGTAATTGTACGTGGATACGTCCATGGTCTTTCCTTCTTTCTCGAATTTCCTCGAAATTTCTAGGAACTCCTTGAATTCTCTAGAAACTCCCTGAATTTCCTCGAAATTTCTAGAAACTCCTGGAATTCTCTTGAATTCTCTAGAAACTCCCTAAAATCCCTCGAAATTTCTAAAAACTCCTTGAATTCTCTAGAAACTTCCTGAATTTCCTTGAATTTTCTAGAAACTCTTTGACTTCTCTTGAATTCTCTAGAAACTTACTGAATTTCCTCGAATTTTCTAGAAACTCCCTGAATTCTCTCGAATTTTCTAGAAACTCCCTGAATTTCCTCGAAATTTCTAGAAACTCCTTCAATTTTCTAGAAACTCTTTGAATTCTCTTGAATTCTCTAGAAACTTACTGAATTTCCTCGAATTTTCTAGAAACTCCCTGAATTTCCTCGAAATTTCTAGAAACTCCTGGAATTCTCTTGAATTCTCTAGAAACTCCCTGAAATCCCTCGAAATTTCTAGAAACTCCGTGAATTCTCTAGAAACTTCCTGAATTTCCTCAAATTTTCTAGAAACTCTTTGAATTCTCTTGAATTCTCTAGAAATTTCCTGAACTTCCTCGAATTTTCTAGAAACTCTTTGAATTCTCTTGAATTCTCTAGAAACTCTAGAAACTCTTAAATTCTCTTGGAATTTCTAGTAACTCCTTGAATTCTCTCGAATTTTCTGGAAACTCCCTGAATTTCCTCGAAATTTCTAGAAACTTCTCAAATTACCTCGAAATGGCTAGAATTTTCTAGAATAAGGGCCGTCTCCCAAAATGATCCCCCCATATTGCAACCATAGACGTATCCACGTCAAAAAAATCCTGCACCTGAGGAGGAGTGCCTTGAGCATTCGAAACGACAGCGTTAAAGCCGAGACAGGACGAGAGAAACATTCGGAAGAAAATTGCAAAAATTGCAAATGCGTAAACGCAAAAAAATGTTCTCTCAAATATTATTATAAACATAAAAACAGAAATGTCAAATTAATTTTTGCCATGGTGGAACGTAAAATCCAAGAATTTTTTTATAATATCAGACTATGACAGTCTTGTCACAAAAAATTGTCACAAGACTGACATAAATCTTACATGTAGTGAAAAAAATGAGGGTCATTTTCGCATTCCAAAAATGTAAATATCCTCTGCACCACTCATAAAGAATAAATGAATAGAAATTAAGATGAATTAAATTCAAAATAAAATCCACTCGTTGCGGTATATTCCGCCCCTTGACATTAAACCACTCGACTAATTCACCGGAAGCAATTCAACTCATTTCCCATATGTTTCATGTACAAATGGAGAACGGTGAAAGTGCACTGCACGCAGCAGCCTTGACGGGACACATGACCGTGGCAAGACAATTGGTGGGGGCTGGCGCCGATCCACTTTTAGTCAATCAGGAGGGACTTACGCCCCTTCAACTAGCACTCAGGCATTCGCAGGGGCAGGTCGCCAATTATCTCAAGGACAGAGTCAGGTCGAGAACTGCATCTCGCTGATAACAACTGTCTGAGCACAATTTTTCAAAATCGAAAAAAAAAAATTTCCTTTCGCCAATTTAAAAATTTTTATTGTGAAAAATTCGAAAAAAAAGGGCAATTTCACTAGAAAGATCGGAAAATTTACCCACAGATTGAAAAAAAAATCGACCCTCTGCGGCCTTTATTTCTCGAAATATTCAACAAAATGTATTTCAAAATTATTTCGTTTTTTGGCTGTATCTCGCGAAATAATGGGGCAAAATGGGCGATTTTTTTTTCAATATTCCTTAAAATTCTCCGATCTAACGAATGCAGTTGATTTTTTTTTGGAAAAAAGCCCCTGAAAAAAAGTGGTTAAATCGAAATTGATGATTCAACGGGAATTTTCTAAAAATAAAAATGAAAAAGCGGGCAAATGATGTTTGACGCTTGACGACGATGATTTGCACCATTTACTTTCATGAGATGTGTGTCAGAGGTCGAGGAGACCATGAAATCTGTAAATACGTGAGGACAGTGATGACATCTAAAAAAACCGATATTTATTATGAAAATGTCATTCCCCGAGAGAATGTAAAAACCGTCCTCAAGTTTTAGCACAACTTCATCGTTTTTAATACTTTATTGAGACTGTAAATGCCTTAGGAGTCGTATTAAAGTGTTCATGGAGTACGAGGGACGTTGATTAATGCGAAAAGATGATTGAAATTTCAAATTTTTGGAGAAATTTGGAGAGAGAATGAAATTGATTTGTTAATGAGCGATTTCAGAGAACATTTCGAGGACAATTTTTCATAAAATCACCCATTAAAGAGATCATTTCGAAATTATGAAGCGTTGGGAATAAATTTTCGTGGGAAATTTAATTTTCTGTATAAAGGAGTGAGGTAGAGACGATAATTTCTAGACAATTAAATTTTCTATTAAAAATGTGATGGACAAAAGAGATTTTGTCCATCACTTCTCAGCAAAAATAGTCGCGATGAATCATTGAATCTCATTCCTCATTACTGAATTCAATTTTATTGAATAATAAGCAACTATTTTTCCAGTCTTCCTACTAACTTATCGTGGATAAATGCATAATGTTTGTTAATTGTTATAAAGTTGTGAACGAGAGAAATAAAAGAATTCTATGAATAAATTATGCCATTGAGAATGAATCACGAAGCTTTTTCTTATTCTTAATTTATTCACTTCTATTCCAGAAAAATATATTACTTCGTATTGTACATATTTTTAATTTTTCATTATAATTATCAACATATTGATCATAAACTATAACTTATAGTAAAAAGCGAGGTGAAAAAGTACTAGATAAATCCCAAAAAATGACTCGTATCGAGCCAATTATTCAATCACCTCCGTAATTATTGAATTTACGAAAAAAATGTTAAGAGACATTTTTCCGTAGCTGACGAAATTCCCCCCAAAAATGTCTCTCGACATTTTCCCCTAAACCCACTCATCACCAAGGGAAATCCACAATTACCAAAGATCAATGAAATTTACGTTATGAAACAAACGTGCCACAGAATTATGGAATTATCTCATTGACGAGTGATTTTAGGAGAAAATGTCAAGAAGCCTTTATTGTAGCTTGAATTAAATTCTCTACAAAAAAGGTCCTTTGAAGTTTTTGGCTAGAACCACTCATTAACGAGATAACAGCACAATTACCAAAAATGTCCATTTCCATGTTTCATCAACTCGATCTTCCCTGTCTTGGTAATAACGCAATAATCTCGTTAATGAGTGGTTTCATCGGATAATGTTAAAAGACATTTTCTCCCAAAGTCAATAGTCCGCGAGATAATTCAACAATTCAGTGATGACATGAAACAACTTGACTCAAACGTCGAAATCGCTGTTGATTTCCCTCAATCCCTCAATTATCTCCGTAATCATCGAATTCAGGAGAAAATGTCAGAAGACATTTTCCCCAGAGAATTTCCTGACCCCCAAAAAACGTCTCTTGACATTTTCTCCTAGAGTCACTGATCACCGAGATGATACCACAATTCACTAGTGTCATAAAATAGCCCAGGTAAACCGTATAATTCCCTCAACGAAAAAAAATTCACATTTTCCCCCGAACCCACCCAAGTCACTACTATCCTCTCCAGTCCCTCCCACCACTCATCACTCGCCACGAACAATGACTCCATTCAATCCCAACAAAAGTCCAGCACCAGCTATGATTAATCCTCCTTCGACATCGCAATTTTCTCCAATCAATCTTCTTATTCACCATTTTTTAATCAATTTTTTCCCTCATTTTTTAATCTCCATCTCATTCCAACGTTCTTGCAAACTCAAACACATGAGACTTTGGCCATTACCTCACATTCTCAATGCCCTCGAGATCGCAACCATCTGCCAAGTGATCATTTCCTCGCGGAGTTTGCAAAAGTTATGCACATGCAAAGTGTATTCCCACTGTAATCGTGAATTACGGCCTCGAATGTGGGTCGCCGTGTGAAAAGAAGGCCTCAGTGATGCCAAGACATTTGTCGACTTTATCGGGGTATCAGTACTGGGAGAGATAAGCCTGATAAAGAACGTTTAGTCACTTTCCAGGCTTTTCTGGGTGCACACCTCTGTGACAAGTTCCAATGATTCGAGATCGATTGCCGGATCTGTGTGCAGTTAGTTTTTTTTCCAAGTGTTTTTCCGTTTCGAAAGTTTGTCTTCGTGATTTTTTTTTTCATTGGGATTTTTTTTGTGCGCTTCTTCGTTGAGAACAGAGTTTTAGATGATTTTTGGGATTATATGAAGTGTTTTTGGTGGTTTTTTAAATTGAGAGAATTTTTTAAAATGATTTTTTCAATTCAGAGAATTCCTTTAATGATTTTGTCAAGTCGAAGAATTTTTTTCGATGATTTTTCGATTAGAAAAATTGGTTTAGTGATTTTTTTAATTGTTTTCGATGGTTTTTACAACAGAAAAAAATTTTTTAGTGATTTTGTGGAGAAAAAATTTTTTTTTGATAACTTTTTGTCACAAAATTGTCTTCGATGAATTTTTTTTCAACTAAAAAAATTACATGCGGTGATTTTTTAAATTGAAAAACTTCTCTGTAATGATTTTTACAACTGCAAAAATTGGCTAAAGATTTTAGAAGTGGAAAAATTAATTTTGACGATTTAAAAACCCTGTTTAACGATTTTGTCAACGGAAAAAATTGTTTTTCATGATTTATTGGGGATTCTAGAGACGCAGAAGTGATTCCAACTTTGGGAGAGGACTTTTGAAAGATGTTTGCGTTCAGATCGGGCAGAATAAAAGGGTGAAGGATGTTCTAGAACAGGTGGGTGATTTTTCGATGATTAAAAAACTGACTGATAATTGTTTTAGAGTTTTAGCTAGTGATAACTGTGTTTGACTTTGTTTGGATAGATTTATCTCACTAATGAGAGGATTTATAAAAAAATGTCACATAATATTTTTTGTTGGAAATTTCGTTAGGAACAAAAAAGATTCCCATACATTTTCCCCTAAATTCAATGGCTTTCGAGATAATCCCAAAATTCACAAATCTATTCATTTTCATTGAACGTGAAACTTGATTTATTCTTTAATTGTCTTGATTATCATTTATTTTAAGGGAAAATGTCAAGAGGCACTTCATAAAACGAACTTATTTTGGAATATTTTGTTACCATATCAATGGTATAAAACATAAAATTCTGATTAATTTTTTAATTAATAAAAACTAAATCTATTTTTCATTACCTTGTTGTTAAGTAATTATAATGACGTAAATGTTCATTATTCTTTCCATCGCTAGTCGTAACGAACGTTTGGGTATGGATTGATCAATGAGTAGTGAAAATGGGAGAAACTCCCATCAATAAAATACTCAGAAATAAAATAAAAAGAAGAAATTCACTGGAAAAATTGAGAAAGAATTTCTATTTTTCGCTGATTAATTGGAATTGTCTTGTTAATGAGTGTTCTTTCAGGCTGAAAATATCAGGACAATGCTGGATATCCTCCAGGACAACGTGAATATCGTGAAAAATCTTCATAACAATGAACTACTGCACACGAATCCAGGTAAAACCTCCAAAAAGGAAATTCTGAAGGGACACACCCCGTTATAAATCTTCATTAACTAATGAAAAATTAGAATTTCAGATATTCACACTGAGCTCGAGGGTCGAACATTCATAATCTCTCAAACTTCGTTGAGAATTCGTACAAGTTTAAAAGGTAAACTTCACTTTAACGTTTTTTCATTTTTTGTCATTTCGGTGATTGATTGTTTGAGATTATCTCATTAATTAATGAATTAAGACAAAAATGGCAGGGGAATTTTTTGTAGAAAATTTGATTCTCTGCATTAAGTATCCGGAACATTTTCTTCCAAACCCCGTCATTACCGTGATAATCGCATAATAAACACAATGGTAAAAATGAACTCCATGAAATATCAGAGTTAGCCATTTCATTAATTGCTCAATTATCTCGTTAATGATTGGATTTTGATGAAAAAGTCACAAGACATTGATTGTAGGAAATTGAATTCTCTTCAAAAAGTATTCGCAACATTTTCCCCTAAACCTACTCCTTCTCCCCATAATCCCATCCCAATCAAAAGCATTCATTAAAACTATATTCAACTCATGTTTTTTACCCCATCACCTCGCCTCCCGTTCGGCCTCTCGTGCTGCACCTCCCGAGGACTGCGGCGCGTTAATTAAATTAAGATCCCGCACGCAGTCACTCAAGACGACCACTGGACTGGAAATAGTTCTGCTCATGTCCCTCTCCCTCGGCTTCGCGGAATGATTGAGACCTGGATAAGTCAGCGACGAGAGTCTTCTCAGAACTATCCGCGGGCTTCTGCCCCTCAGTGATAAATGCTTCTGTTTAATTGGCGTCGATTCCCCGAGTGGTTGCGAGGACTCATCAACTTCATCATCCACTTCTCCTCTCTTTCCATACAATCTACCGAAATAAAATCATCTTCAGAGCCATCCCTCGCTGGATGCCGATGTGAAAATCGTTTTTTTGACTTTTTTTTATTAGTGTTTTTTTTTGGCTTAATTAGTTGAAAACTATGGGACAAAATGGGTCGACATATTTCTCATTCGGTAGAGCGGAAAATTTTACGTGAAATTAAAAAAAAAAAGATCGATTTTCCTCCAGTAGATTTCGAGAAAATGCAGAAAAATGGTTTTCACAAAAAAATTGATTTTTTTATAGTAGTAGCTTGAAAAAATGAACTTTTTAATGCGTGAACCGTACGGAAAAGTTCTCGTTTTCCTCATGCAGTGCTATAAAGTGTTTTTTCGTCACAAGGCCGAGAAAAACTCTTCAATGAAAAAATTCCCCACCAAGTATCCGTAAAATGCAGTTTTACAGCCTGTATTCGGAAAAATAATTCCCCTCACCTGATGCAACGCTCCATCTCCTCCTCAACCCCCGGGAACTCGGCGAACAGTCCAGTCAACTGATCCTTCCCGAACTCCCCGGCAATCTTGACAAAAGCCCTCCCCACGTCCCCCTCCACCTCGGTCTTCGTCAACTTGCGCCTCAGTTCCGCCAACTTAGGCAGCAAAACCGAAACCCTGTGCTTCTTCGTCTTCTCCAGATGAACATTCGTGGAACCGCTGACCCTCCCTCCCTCCACCTCCTCCTCATCATCCCCCTGGGACCGCCCCCCACCCCCCACTTGCAGGTGAACGCTCGAAACAACGTAGAGAGCGTCTCTCAGGACGCAGAGGGCCTGACCCTTCGTGACCTTGAAGTTTCCACTCAGAAAATTATTGAAGATCTGAGTCGTCAGGACCTGATGCAATTTCGATTTTCCTGCCACGTCGAGGTTCTCCAGCATGAAATCGTAGATGAGTCTGCGATTGGCGGCGTTGTCCCCTCCGCTGAGGACCAGCGCCACCTTCTCGTGATCCCTCAGGGTCCGCTTGCAGAATTTGTTGTTGGTCTCGAAGTCGTTGTAGTGGTAGATGGCCTCCAGGAACTGCTGGGAGATGAGCTCCTTGTTCTTCATGAGGAGCCTCTCCTTGATCAGGAAGACTGTCATCTCGCGGATAGTCTTCTCAGGGTCCGCCAGCATTGTCAGGATGTGGAAGAAGAAGGTGCCCTTGACCTTGATGTAGTCCTCCACCAGGAGTTGAATGAAGATGACTACGATGGCTTCCCTGACGATGGGATTGCCGTCCTTCATGGAAACGCAGATATCTGGGAGGTGGGGCTCGACGAGGGAGGTGAACCTCGTGGCGACGTCTGCCAGAGCTTTGGCGGCGTTGACGCGAATGGCGGCGTCTTCAGAGGCGTCATCTGAGGACCTGGTGCAGAGGAGCTGCGCGAAGATGGTCATCATTTCGTGCGCGATGGCTTCTTTACGCATGGATTGCTGGCCCAGGGCGACTATTGCGCAGGCTTGGAGACGCTTGGGGCTGGTGAACCACGTGGGGATGGTCTCCGGGGAGACGAGGAGACCCTGGAGGATTCTCAAGACCGAGAGGGAGACCTCCTTTGGGCAGAGTAAGGAAGTATAGCCCAGGGTGTAGATCGCCCTTATGCAGGTGGTCCCGGAGGTTTCGTGATGGATTATCGAGGAGATGATCATCTCGGAGGCCTCCAGGAGGTCCGTCATCTCGTCCTCGAAGGGTCTGACGAACCCCTCCCCCGTGGGCTTCAGGAAATCCGAGACCTGGTGAACGATGTCCAGGGATATACTGATCAACCTCTCGTGGATCCGGAACTCCTGCAGGTGCCTCAGGAACACCCGCAGCATCTTCTCCAGGAAGTTTTGCTCGAACGTCAAACAGCAGCTTCTCAGGACCTCGAAAACGGGCTCCAGGAAGTCGTCCGCTTCGAACAAGTCCTCGTACCCCCGGAAGTGCTGCTGCATGTCCTCGAGGACTTGACTCTCGGAGACGGCGGAGAGGAATATCCACGCCTCGATGTTGTATTCCGAACCGATTTGAGACTTTATGCTCTTGAGGATCGAGTTGGTCAGGCTTCCGGACTCTGTCCAAGCGTCGCAGGCCTTCGCCAGGTGCTTCCTCATCTTGTTTCTCGTTAATTCATTCAGAACCCTCCAGGGCAGCTCTACGTTTTCACCCGGGGGGGATATCCTCTTGAGGGTCAGGGACTCCAGCGCCTTCAGGGCCTCCACCTGGACGTTGACCTCGACGTCGAACACCTGGGGGACCACTGACTTCACCCAGGTCGTGCAGAAGCTCTCGTGACGGGGGAATGATTGAAACAGAGAGGTGAGGACCTGGATCGCCCGGATGCGGACGGTCATCGTGGGGTCCCGGCAGTGCTCGGAGATGATGTCGATGATCCTCGTCAGGATATGCTCGTTAACTTTCACGAAATTATGGAGGATTTGAATCGCGGAGATGCGGACGGCCGCTCTCTCGTCTTCCACTCGTTCCGTCAACATCGAGATCATGGCGTCGGCCTCGGGGAGGATGTCCAGGTCCTCTGAGAGGTTGGCCATCGCCTCCTCGAGCTCCTCGAAAACGGGGATGTCCCCTCCTTCCTCGCGCCTCGTGAACAAGTCTCTGACGAAGAGGTTCTCCGGGTCCTCCGTGTACTCCGAGAGGGTCGAGACGCATTTCGCCCTGACGAGACTCGACACGTCGTTGCAGTGACACAGCACCGTCCCCAGGAGAATCTTCCTCAGGTTCCGGCCCTCGACACTTCCCAGGTCGTCTGACATCTTCAGGTACTTGTTGAGAATCTCCTGGGCGAAGATCCTCCAGGTGATCTTGCTGTTGTGGGAGCACCTGAGGAAGTCCCCGCAGATGTCGTCCCGGGACTTTCTCGTCCTCAGGATCCTCAGGAGATCGATGATCATGGAGACCTCCTTGCGACGGTCCTCCGCGATCTTAGAACAGTGGATCATGATCTGGTTCATGAGGATGAGGATCCCCGCCTCCACCGCCTCCTGGTGCGGCTCGACGAGGCTCGATAAAAAGTGAATCGTCGTTTTTCGAACGGTAGCCAGGAGCTTCGCGTTGAGATCGTTGTAGCAGTTCTGGGTCATGAACACCAGGACCTTCTTGATGATGAGTTTAATCGTTATGGGGATGGGGCCGTGGCGCGGGTGACAGGCGGCCGTCAGCGCGACGTACGCGTTGTGGGTCAGGGTGCCCAGGGTGGCGGGGGGGCTCGCGTTCTTCCTCGGGGTTTGAACGTTAGAGTCCCCTCCGAGCTTCGTCACATCAACGAGCGCCGCGACTACCGCCTCGAGGGACCGCGGCAGGTCCAGGAGGCTGAACTCCCCGAGGAAGACGATCGTCTCGTACATGATGGTATTCAAACTTCTCGTCAAATTCTGCTTTTGCGCGTTACTCAGAGCCGGGAGGCTGTCCTCCTCCTCGTAGAGGTCCCCCAGGTCCTGGGGGGCCCTCGACCTCTTCACCGGGGCGATCAGCCCCTCCGCGAGCTTGAACGTGTCCAACGCGAGTTGAAAAAGATTCTCGTGGAACACCTCGTAAACCGAACTCCCGGGGACCGCCAACAGCGTCAGGTAGAGGCGCGTCCCCAGGAGGCAGGACTGACGCGCGTCCTCGTCGTAATCGCGATCCTGACCCGTTTTTATCAGACTCCCGAGGAGCGCCAGGAGCGGCCGCGGCTCCACCCTCGCGGAGGTGAGCGTCTGCCACGAGGAGCCCGACTCCTGGGGATCCCCAGGGTCAGCCCGTTTTTTCCCCCCCAACGATCGCTTCACGTGTTTTATCACGTCCCCGAGGATCGCGTCGAGGTCGCCGCCGGCCGACTCGACCTGGGGGACGTAATCCTCGGGGATCGCCTCGAAGACGAGGAACTGCCCCTCCCACATCGCGGTCACCCAGGGGGCCGGCAATTTATCGAGGTGGAGGGCGGCGAAAACCTTCAGGCCCTCCATTTTTTATTTTTTTTTTCTTTGTTTGGGCTAGGTTTGTTTTGATTTCGGGGCGTAAACATAACCTCACATATTTGCGCGCGCTTTCGGGCTAGATTTGTTCGGAAAAAAATGTTTTTTCTGTTCATTTGAGGCGAATTTTTAGGGGAGGGGGAGTTTTTGGCGGAGGTTGAGACGTTCTGCTGCACTTACCTGGGTTTTTCGGGGTTTTTAGAGCTCAGCAAGGATATCCCGCACTTTGAGGAACTCTCGCTCGACGCCGCGAGGGAAGGCACTGCGCATGCGCGCATTCGGGTGCTCCAGTATGTCACGAGTTTTGAATTGTTCTCGCGGATCATGCGGGAGTACAATGACGCGCTGATGAAGTACCACGCCAAGTGCTCGTCGATTTATCATCAGCAGAAGAGATTACGTGAGATTTGTTATTCTTTCGGGGGTTAATGACGAATTTAGGAGCGAAGAGGCAAAACGGCTCATGTCGACGTGGCTCGCAGCCGAGTTTTCGGGGAATATCTCCGTATCTAAGGGAGATAGCAGAATTTTTGTTAGAGTCTTTTTTGTAGAGCGTATTGAGGGCTACAGAAAAGGTCGTATTAAAAATTTTGATATCTCGCTTAGATAACGAGATATTCCACGAAAACTGGGCGATTGACAAAATCGACTTGAAGGGTTTCAACGATTTGTACTGAATTTTACTGGGGAAAGTGATTTTTTTTAATGGTTTTAGGGGGGAAGGGTTTGCTTTGGTGATTGATCGATGGATTATCGGGATGTTTTCAGTTAGGAAGGAAAATTCTAGTCAATACATCGAGTCTGACCCGGAGGAAGGGGAGAAAACGAGTCTTTTTGTTGATAATGTGAGTATTTTTTTGGACTCTACTCTGTTTTTTTGCTTCAGAACAAAACCAATAAGTTTATAGAGGGTTTCATACAAAAAAAACGACGAACAAAAGGAAAGGAAAAAAATTATAAAAAGAAAAAAAAAATTCGTCAACAGGTATGCTAGGTATTCTTGGAATTATCTCCGTGGCTATCAACTTTAGAGGAAAATTTCACTGGACATTTTTTCCCGGAAATTTAATTATCTACGAAAACTTTCTTGTGATATTTTCCCCTAGACCCATCAGTTCCCGAGATAATCGCAAAAATACCCGAAGGAATTCTGGATTTTTTTACTTTTTTCAAGTTCATTCATCATTAATGTTAATGATTCTTGTAGATTCTGGAGGAAAGTCGAATTGCCAGAGCACAGCTGTCAGAAATCCAGATGAGGCACACAGAGATGTTGAAACTTGAAAAATCAATCGTGGAGATCAGGGATATGTTCATAGAAATGGCTTTTGCGGTGGAAAAACAGGTGAATGATCATTGAAAAATCATCCAATGCCTTCTCCTCATAAACAACTACCCCAGAAACCTCTCCTTCCACTCTAAAAAAATTTCTAAAGAATTTTCCTCTCATTTTTTTCATCAAAAAGTAATTTTTAATTTCAATTAAAAATGAAAAAGTCATTATAACGAGTAAAAAATTGATTTTTTATTGATGTTTTTCAGGGAGAACAATTAAATTGTGTCGAATATTTCGCTGGGCAGGCAACAAATAACGTTGACAGTGGAAAAGTTGATATAAGAAAAGCTGAGAAGCGAAAAAATCGGCATCGAAAGGTGAAATCCTTCAATTTTCAATAAAAAATGCCCCTTTGTCTCAAAAATTAAACTAATCTTCCTTTTTACAGAGAAAAATCAAGTGCCTGATCATTCTCGCGATAGTCATAATAATTCTGCTCCTAATAGCGATATTTTTGTGAATAAAAAACGTATAAAATTTTAAATATCAACATAAAGTGATCGATTTTTTATCAATTGTTTTAGAGATTAATTTCGTCTCTTAATTATTTCTCATGTCAATAGTCGAACATTACTGAGATAATGAATTGATTGAGGACTGGAAATTATTGCTCCAATGATAATTAATCTAGGGTAATTAATTATGGCATTCAAGTGTCGCAATCCATGGTGGAAGGATTCTCCGTTGACTTGCAGCAATTTAAAATGTAATTGTTGAAGAATGAAACGACCCCTTTGGCGCTGGGCCGAGTCTTCTGGTCCTGATCGGTGCAGATGAAGAATATCTCCAGGATTTTGTCGTACTCCGGGCCAATTTCGATGGCTGGAAGGGCTGGACGAGTTCCTGAAGTTCGAAATGGAAATGGAAAAATGATTTTGTCGATTTGGGGGTTTTATTCTTTATTTATCTATTGGATTGATTTTTTACCGTATTTAGCACGGATTTTTTCCTCCAAGATCATGAGGCTGTCGTTGAATGATCCGTTGGGGTCGTCGTTCTCTCCCTCTTCTGTGGAACCAAGGAAAGAACCATCCAGCATGGACTCGTCTATGGACTCGTCGATCTCCACGTGCGGTGGGGAGAGGGCTATCATCTCCCAGAGGGTCAGACCGTAGGCCCACATGTCCGTTTTGTTGGTGATTGGCCCTTCTGCAGGAGGAAATTATTTTTATTTTCATTCTAGTAATTATACGGTTCACCTGAGCTGTTTTATGTCACTAGTGAATTGTGGAGTTATCTCGGTGATCATTGACTCTAGGAGAAAATGTCAAAAGACATTTTTGGGGGGTCAGGAAATTCTCTATGGAAAGTGTCTTCTGACATTTTCTCCTGAATTCGATGATTACGGAGATAATTGAGGGATTGAGGGAAATCAACAGCGATTTCGACGTTTGAGTCAAGTTGTTTCATGTCATCACTGAATTGTTGAATTATCTCGGGGACTATCGACTTTGGGAGAAAATGTCTTTTAACATTTTCCGACGAAACCACTCATTAACGAGATTATTGCGTTATTATCAAGACAGGGAAGATCGAGTTGATGAAACATGGAAATGGACATTTTTGGTAATTATGCTGTTATCTCGTTAATGAGTGGTTCTAGCCAAAAACTTCAAAGGACCTTTTTTGTAGAGAATTGAATTCAAGCTACAATAAAGGCTTCTTGACATTTTCTCCTAAAATCACTCGTCAATGAGATAATTCCATAATTCTGTGGCACGTTTGTTTCATAACGTAAATTTCGCTGATCTTTGGTAATTGTGCATTTGTCTTGGTGATGAGTGGGTTTCGGGGTAGAATTTTTTTTTAATTGACTATTAAATTTACCTAAATTTGCTAGCATTAGTAAAAAATTCTAGATAAAAAAAAACACATAAAATCATTTTCTTCTATTCTTCAAAATTTCTCAATCCTTTAATTCTTCTGTTTAATTCCTGATTGATCAAACGAGAAAATAAAAATATTGGCAGCGGTGGGATTCGAACCCACGCCTCCGAAGAGACTGGTGCCTTAAACCAGCGCCTTAGACCGCTCGGCCACGCTACCAGCTGTGTAAACACGCGCCCAAAATACCGGTTCTGAGCCTCCAAAAATATCTGTAAAAAGAGAATCTCAGAGACGATTGAAAAAAATACCTGAGAAGACTTCGGGGGCGTTCCAGCACTCAGTCCCAGTGTAGACGAAGTCAGCAGTGGATTTGTCGAGCTCCAGGGTCTTGGTCAGGGGCACAGAGACCCCGAAGTCGCAGATCTTGACGATTTTCAGGTCCTTGGAGACCAGGATGTTGTAGCTCTTGAGGTCCCCGTGGAGGATGTGGGCTGTGTGGTGCAGGTACTCGAGACCTTTTGCCACCTCGAAGCCTATCCCCTCGATCTCCCTGGCTCTGAAGTGGGGAAGACCATTCTCCACTCTTTCCTCGATCATATCGCCTGGTACAGTGATAAAATCGATTGAATGAATTGATTTTCTTTTTTTTATTCTAGAGAATTAATGCTGGAGTCGATAATTACCGAGATGATTGGACAATTCATTAGTGAGATAAAACAACTCAAGTAAAACGTGTAATTTTACTTAATTATTCAATCACCTCCGTAATTATTGAATTTACGAAAAAAATGTTAAGAGACCTTTTTCCGTAGCTGACGAAATTCCCCCCAAAAATGTCTCTCGACATTTTCCCCTAAACCCACTCATCACCAAGGAAAATCCACAATTACCAAAGATCAATGAAATTTACGTTATGAAACAAACGTGCCACAGAATTATGGAATTATCTCATTGACGAGTGATTTTAGGAGAAAATGTCAAGAAGCCTTTATTGTAGCTTGAATTAAATTCTCTACAAAAAAGGTCCTTTGAAGTTTTTGGCTAGAACCACTCATTAACGAGATAACAGCACAATTACCAAAAATGTCCATTTCCATGTTTCATCAACTCGATCTTCCCTGTCTTGGTAATAACGCAATAATCTCGTTAATGAGTGGTTTCATCGGAAAATGTTAAAAGACATTTTCTCCCAAAGTCGATAGTCCCCGAGATAATTCAACAATTCAGTGATGACATGAAACAACTTGACTCAAACGTCGAAATCGCTGTTGATCTCCCTCAATTCCTCAATTATCTCCGTAATCATCGAATTCAGGAGAAAATGTCAGAAGACATTTTCCACAGAGAATTTCCTGACCCCCAAAAAATGTCTCTTGACATTTTCTCCTAGAGTCGAGGATCACCGGGATAATCCCACAATTTACTAGTGAGATAAAATCATCTTCGTATCAATCTCACCAAGGGAAACATCCAGCTGCTCCATCGCCAAGCAAGGGACTCCAGCCTCCGATTCAGTGAGAGCCCTGAAACCCACGATATTCGGGTGCTGCAGAGCTCTCAGGATCTTGGCTTCGAGTCTGATCCGCTCGTCATACTTTTTATCCTTAGAAACCGACGTATTTCTCTTCTTTATGGCCCAGGGGGAACGGATGAGCCCCACCTTCGGCGATCGCTCCAGGGTGAAGACATTCACCCCTGAAAACCCAAGAAAAAAAATATTTCCAGGTCAAAATAAAATGAAATAAAGCCGGGAAATAAATAAATCAATGAATGAAATAAAATAAAAATATGAAAAATAAAGTCAAAGAAGATTCTCTCACCACAGCCGTAACCTATTTGCTTCAGGAAAGGTGAAGCCGGAATTTTTATGGGCGTCTGGTGCTCGGAATTGTTCTCAATTCTGCTCCTGAATTTTCTGGACGTCGGCGTCTTGAACTCAGTCATTTTTCCGTCCCCGAAAGAAACTTTTTACGATTAAAATTATGAGAACAACGTCAATAAACACCTGTTCGTGCACTGGGTGCTGTCTACTGTTTATATCCGTTGGGAGGAATTTGAAATTCTGGGGAATTCAGGAGGGACGCGCCAGTGCCGCCATATTTATGGGGAAACTTCCCTAGAATCATAGACGTGGTGGGGGAATCTAGTGTAATGCGTAGATGCAAAATGACCGTAATTTCTGAGAACGCGTCACATGACCAAAAATGACGGTAATTTGACGCCCAAATTTTTGATCTACAAAAAATGTTTATAGTAGGTAATTATGATTTTTTTTAACAGCTTACTATGAATTTTTTGTGTAGTTGGAAAATGTGTGCGCAAATGACCGTCATTTTTGGTCATCTGACGTGATCTTAAAAATGACGGTCACATGACAGGCATTTGTGACGGCTGTCACAATTTCTCTCTCTCTCCTCCATAGAGAAACAAATGCGTCACATGACTAGAGATTCAAAATGACCGTCATATTTGAGATCGCGTCATATGACCAAAAATGACCGTCATTTTTTAGATCGCGCCTGATGACCAAAAATGATGGTAATTTTGCTTCTTCAGTCGTGTAACTAGAGATGCAAAATTACCGTCATTTTTGAGATGGCGTTATATCACCAAAAATTACGGTCATTTTGCATCTCTAATTACTATAAACTGTCTTACCGACAGTCTAGTTAGAAGCGCCCCCACCCAAGCCATTGGGAACTACATTCTGTTACCCCCACTCCAACGAGTTGCGCCTCCTTCCCTCTCGTCTCCATGACAAGAACCACTGAAAACTGAAAAAAATATCAGATGAATTCGTCGTGTGATACGTCGTGTGCCACAGAAATGGGCCAAGTGCTCATGTAGTAATTGTTGACCATTGGACATCACTTCCTCGAGGTTGTGCAGCTCCTGGTGACGACTTTTTTCAAAATTATTTATCAATTTTAACTCAACGTCAACGGGAAATCGGATTTTTCCGATTGGTTTTTCCGCGTTTTGTCGAGGTATTTCTGGGCACTCGCTGCACGCCGTAGACGCAATTGTCAGAGAAATGGAGCAGAAGAGGGTGTACAAGGTCGTACTTACTGGAGGTAAGGGCAAATGTTATTTTTATTTCGGGCTCTTCGGGTTCCGCAATTTATTTCTGAGGTTTTCAGCGGAAATTCTTGGGAAAATACGTCATTTATCCTTTTTTTCGAGTTGAATGATTGTTTTTCGAGGGATTCTCATTTTTTTCAGGGTTTATAATTATTTTTAGGCATTAAGTTTTTGTTTATCATGTTTTTTAGTTGAATAATTCTTTTTGAAGGCATTCTGATTTTTTTCTGAATTTATCATTATTTCTTTATATTTTTTTGAGTTGATAATTTTTTTTAATGGTTTCTTCAACTCATTGCCATTCAACTTTGACAGAATAATTGTCTTTGGAGGGGTTCTTAATTGGCGTTAATTGGGTTTCTGGGAGTCATGCGGAGGAATTGGGGGAATACGAATCATCACGAATTATTTTAGTTGTTTTGGGGTCTTATTGTGAGGTTTTTTGGAATTTCTGGGCTTGGAAAAATTTTTTTGTGAGTTTTTCCGAGCAACATAATTTTTTTAAAGTATATTGTTGCGATGAAATTGAAAAATTCAGTCTCTTAAAAATAACTTTCAATTTTTATAGAATTTTTCATTTAAAAAAAAGTAAAAAGTTTCATTTTCTCCTGCATTTCGGGTTAATTGCCTCCAATTTCGTTCTATTGATAAGTACAGAGGAATTTCTGATGACCTTGACCAACGTTCCAAATAGAATAGAATAATCTATCTCCAAACAATTTTTCTCGATTTTTCAACCAATTTTTTCCCAAAAAAATCAATTTTTCTCGGTTTCTGGGCTAATTTCTCCTAATATAACCGATTAATTAATGCACTCACCATTTTTAATCACCTCTACTGATGATTTCGTTGATAATAGATGAAATTTGATGGAGAAAATGACGATTTTCTCATAAAATTACCGAAAAATTATTTTTTTCAAATTTTACTAAATTCCTTTTCTCATTAAAAATTGAGTAAAAAATTGTCCCGAGGGTTTTTTATCAGTTAAATTTTCACATAATTGTTTCCGGAGGTCTCTGGGTGATCGTGGAATTTTTTTTCGATCTTTCCAATCCTCCACAAGAGGGAGGGGGTAATTATTGGTTTTTAGAGAGACAGAACCACGTGCCAGGCCCCAGCCGCATTTATTCTTCGTCGCGTGTCTCCACCGACGGATGTTACCAGTTTCGAAACGTGAACCGTCTTCCGGTTTCCCCCCCGGGGCTTATTTAAATGAGTAATCAATGATAAGAAAAGAAATTGCGGAGTTGATGCTGAAAGAAATTGATTGAGTTGAAAAATCAATTTTAGATTCAAATCACTGGGTAATTGAGGGCGTTTATCTCTGTGACGAGCGGCTTTATTAAAAAATTTGACATGAAATTTTTTCTAGAGAATTAAATTTTCTACAAAAAATATTCTATAATGTTTTCTCTTAAACTCAATAATAACCGAGATAATTAAACATTTCAAAAACAACGAACCAGTTTTTCTGATTCTAAAACTCCGGGTTAATCTCTCTAAAATCCTCAATTATCTCCAAAACCATTAATTCCACGAAAAAATGTCAAAGGACTTTTTTTGTAGCTGACATAATTCCCCACAAAAAATCCCTTTTCAAAATTTCCCCTAAACCCCTTCATCACCTCAATAATCCCCAATTAACAAGACCGAAAAAATCGTCTGTCATAATTCAACAAGTAACCGATAATTTCACGACTTTCTGTCTTAATTAATTCAATAAAAATCGTAATTGGAGGAGTAATTAAGCACTGACGATCCACTGAAGCCTCTCAAAACCATAAAATTCATGCTCATTAATAAAGTAGATTATACATAAAAATTTAATGAATGAAAACAGACGATTACTTTGGAACGAAAAATCTCCCGAGAAAAATAAAACGTTCGTTGCCGGAAAACTTTTGTTTTGCACTCGTAAACATTCTAACAAATGTCTCGATACCACAGTTTTTTGAAGTACTGCAACTTATCTCTCGTGGCATGAGCTTACGTCACCGATGCTTTACGATCGACGTTTATCATATATTCTCCATTTCATTTTCAAAAAAATGTATCTCTCGTAGACTTCCCACTCCTCCCAGTGACCCCCGTCATCTCGAGAGCCTTATCATCCGGATGATAAGGTAATTAGTGTCTCGGGGGATCGCCAACATGTGGGGGTTAACCCCGTGTGACACAACACAAGAATTAAATTACAATTCAACAGATTTTCATACTTTATCTCGGTTTTTTTTTTCCTCCATGTTTTTTATTTATTCCGGATCATCAAATGACTCCATTCGATGATCCATTTGGAGACTCTGAAATGACTACAGGTAATTTACCTGTGGCTCAAGGGCAGGAGAAAGTACTCCGGCATCAATTCCAATTTTACTAATGATTTTTCGTCTCGTCAAAATAGAAATGCATTAAAAATAAATCGTTAATCGTGATTATCTCGGGGATGAATGGCCCTAGGAGAAAATGTCAGAGAAGACTTTTTGTGGAGAATTTCATGATCTACAAAAAATATTGTCTGACATTTTTTTGTAGAGTCAATAGATTCGGAGATAATTGAGGAATTAACGGACTTGTTTCACACGTCGAAAGACATTGAACTCCATAAAACCTTCGAAATCCTCAAAAATAAATTCTAAAACCCTTGAATTAATTCCAGATGATTTAGTTAAATTAAATTAAAAGTTGAAAATGAAAAGTTAATTCAATTGAATTAAATTTAACCCCCTTAAACCCTCAGAAATATCTTTTTAAAATAAAAAAAATCCATGTGTTCCATTAAAAATCATCGATTCATGTCCCGCTAATCCCCGACAATTCCCCGTGACCCGCAGCCCTGACCTTGACAACAAGCCCCCGGTAATGGCATGCCCATTACCTCCATAATCAATGCCCCAATGATCATCCAATAGCCGTTCAACCCCGGAAAATAAATAAATTGATAAAAAAATCGTCTCGAGGTGATTCTCGAGTGTTACAGGCACTTACTGCGCAGCTGGGAAACCGGTAAAATTCAGTTACATTCTGAACACGTCCGCCGCTATCCAACATCAATCCCACTCGATAATTCACGAGCAATAAACAAAAAACCCTTAATTAACAAAAAAATCACCAAAAAACAGCCAAATCCACTAACCCCTCCACAACCATCTCGGGAGGGGGCGGGGCTTGGTGGGCAAAAATGACCCCATTCGATAGATCAGGAAAAAAGAGCTGAAATCGAAAAAAAAACAATCCATTTTGCCCCATTATTTCCCGAGATAATTGAGAAAAACGAAATTGAGACGATTTCGTTTTTGCGCTGCAACTCCCGAAGTAAGGGGGCAAAATGGGCTGTCTTTTTTTTAATTTCAGCTCATTTATTCTGATCTATCGAATGGGGTCATTTTCGACCCCCCACCCCCACCCGCTCACTAGATGATTCTTCGGTTTTCGGGGTTTCGAGCTGTTTTTTATGATTTTTAATTGTTTTAATTGCTTTTTCATTGTTTTAGGTCCTTGTGGGGGAAAAACCACGGGTCAGACTCGCCTCTGCACATTTTTCGAGAACATGGGATGGAAGGTGGGTGAATGATTCATTAATGATCTTAATGACGCGGTCAAAGGTTCGAAAATTAACAAATACACATTTTTCGATTGGAGAGAATTGAAGAAAAAATTTGAAATTCCCTTGAGATAAAAATTCTGAGTTGTTTCTTGTGGTGTTGAGGGTATTGTCAAGACGTTTATTTGGTGGTGAAAATTGTTGAGAATTTCCCCAAGTCGTTTTTCTAAGGAGAATTATGTTTTTTCTTGTCGTTTTGTTGAATTTCTGGGATGAAATTCGAGGTTTTCATCCCTCCTGCGTTGTGGATTCGATAGAGTGGTGGTTGTCTTATTTTTCAGGTGTTCCGTGTCCCCGAGACAGCGACTGTGCTGCTCAGGTATGCTATTTAACAAATGTAACAACAGTGAAATGAATGATGAATTGGTGAAGCGTCAGGAATCGATGAAATTCGGTGATCTCCTTAATTTCTTAATTATCTCGTTAACCAAACGATCTACGAGAAAACATGATAGGACCTTTTTTGTGGAGAATTTAATTTCCTACAAAAATGTTTTATGATATTTTTCTCTAAAACCCCTCGTTAACGAGATAATTAACCATTAATCAAGAGCAATTGACGAAATTTGGAGAATCACTTGAATTCAACATGTTTGCTCAATTCCTCAATTATGTCATTAAGGAGTTGATCTAGAAGAAAACAACATAGGGAACTTTTTGTGGAGAATTGAATTTCTCACAAAAATGTTTTGTGGCATTTTTTTCTAAGACCCTTCGTTAATGAGATGATCAGCAATTAACAAAACAAAAAAATCCATTCCTGCCACGTTTTCCCAATTCACTGCATCAATAAAAAAAAAAGAGAGAAAAAAAATCCTTGGACCATCGTCCAACGGTCTTTCGCGCTATTAAACTCAACTTTCCAACAACGAATGACGAAAATATCACTTCGATCATCGAATCAAGTCATCAAACTCTTTCATTAAAATTTTGTTCAATTATTTTTTCATTTCGAGTTGATTTAAGATTATTTTGTTAAAATTATCTCAACATTTTTTTCTGCTTTTTCTTTACATTACAGTGGTGGAATCAAGTTCTCAGATCTCACAGCAGACGAGGGTAAGTCTCATAACCAAAATTATTCTAATTCACTTTAAATTTTTAATGATCATAGCCCCAAAGTCATTATTCACAAAATTTTCGAGACTGAAATCATCACAAAATAATTTTCCTGTCCATCCCATCCACTACATCCGAAAAAATGAGCTGAAATTTAAAAAAATACGGCCCGTTTTACCCCAATATTTCCCGAGATATCGGAGAAAAGCGAATTTGAGACGATTTCGTTTTTTGCCTGTAACTTTTAAAATAATGGGGCAAAATGGGTCGTCTTTTTTTAATCCCCTCTATTTTTCCCGATCTGTCGATTGGGCTCATTTTCCACCCCCCCACCCCTCCTCCCAAGATTTTTGAGATTGAAGAAAAAATGGTAATGAAATGAGAAAAAAAATCGAGAGCAGTTCTGTGATAATTTTCTTCTACGATTGTATCCGTGAACTTCGGAGAATAAATTTGTTTAGTAAGAAGTGTAACTCATTCCAAGCGGCTCTGTCAGTCTGGACTGCGCAGTGAGAACTTAATGGAAAAAAAAAAAGAAATAAAACGGATTGTATATTTTCCACTTTAATAAATTCATTAGCATGCGGAATTGTCTGACGCAATAGTCCCAAGGGCTTTCAACAATTGATCAGCATGAACTCATGTGCATACTCATGAGAATGCAATAAATATGAATTAAAATTTTCCAAAACTAAAAATAGAATGAATAAATCACGAGACAATCGTTACTTTTCAAATGGTCTAACGTAAAAAAAAGTTATTGACGAGAAAAAAAATGAAACTATTATAAATTATTGCTCAAGATTAAATAACAGATGTTTCTGCGAAAATACATCAGCAGTAATGGGATTACATATGCAAAAATCCACGTGAATTATCGGTGAATCTAAGAATAACGCAATAATACCTTTCGCCAGTTGTTCTTTTCCTCGCTCTTCGCCTGAACATGACGATTTGACGTGATTACGATTCAGGGACTTTCCACGAATCAGTGACACCCCCTCCGCGTGGCTGTATAAACAGACGTGATGAAAGCGTAGATAATTAATTGAACGAGGGATGATTGTTTCTCTTCATTCTCTACTGGTTTTGATTACACGAAAATAAATAGTGGCGTTGTGCCAGGGGTATTTCAGATGCAACTGGTCTCAACAACTGCATCAGTACCTGCCTCATACCTATTATGAATACATAAATCATCCCTCTGAAATCATCGATCTTTTTTTAATTACGACAACCGTAAAAGTTCCATCAGTGCCCTCCAAACGCTCACAAAATGAAATTTTCGGTTGAAAAAATCTTGGGAACGGGTGGGGGTTAGTGACCCCACTCGATAGGTTGGAAAAAAGACCATCTAATTGAAAAAAAGATGACCGATTTCGCCATTACTCCTCAAGATATCGTCGAAAAACAATTGTGCATTGAAACCGCCCAAAACCGTTCTAAACCGCCCGGAAAAGCCGCCTGGAATCAAAGTAATTTTGTGGCACAACTAATGCCAACAACTCCATCCATTACCTGTCCCGAGACCGCCCGAAACGGCCCGGGACCGCTAGAAACCGCTCAGACCGCCCGAAACAACCGCTTGAAGTAAAAATCAATTTTTCGTGATTGCCAATGGACCGCTGGGGCGAATCAGGTTGTTTTTTCACCTTATCGGAAATTTTCCGATCTATTGACTGGAGTCAGTACCGACCCCACACTGTCTAGCGTCATTTTTTCGTAGAAACGAATGAAAAAATGAGCTCACGTCGTGCTGTTATTTACACTTCTATTTACATGCACTCGGTACCCTATTTTTTATTCCATTCGCATGTACACGTGACTGGTCATTGCAGTGAGGTTTCTTGCAGTCAATTTCCTAGGCTTCATGTTTTATAAATCGCTCTGCACGCTTGATAAAGGGAAGGAAAAGTCGACTCGAAAAATTTATCTTGTTTCATCTAATTTATTTTTGCTCGCAAAAATAAATTAAAATAAACAACAGTTGATTGATTGAGAATGCAAGGTGACACGTGATCAACGGAATAAATCACTCGTGACAAATCCTATAATACGAGACCACCAGGTGACAATAACGGTAAAAGCCAATTTCTCAATTGCTATTACCTCTTGGAAGCATGCCAATTTATTTGGCAGAATGATGTTGTTTACACATGCGCGTGAGACTGCCAACTGACCTATGTGACGAAATGATTAATGAGCAATAAAAATCCGAGTAGAGGATTAATCGCCGAATTAACCGCAAATCAACAATTGACATTGATTTAAAAAAACAACATTTTGAGGAAAATCTTCAATTTCCAAAAATTCACTTTGAGAAGGAGTGGGGATATGGGGTGACTTGTCACCCCATTCGATCGGTCCGGAAATTTAGTCACAAATTTAAAAAAAGACGACCTATTTTGCCCCATTACTTCTCAAGTTACAGCCAAAAAACGTTAAACCGGTGGGAACCGCCCAAAACCGCCTGAAGTCGTTTTTCCGGGATTACTCATAAACCCCTGGGGCTAAATGGATCTCTTTTCGTTTTATTCAATCAAAAATTTTCCAATCTATTCAGTAAAACAATTGTTGCTCCTCTATCGATTTATGATTTTTTTTTATTGTTTATGATTGTAATCGATGAAGAGAGAGTGCGATCACGTCGTCGACTATGGAGGAAAAGTCGTACGATTGAGATTGACAGAATGAACTCACCAAAATGTGAATATTCTGGGGATAAGAGGACACTGAGAAATTGGAGCACGACTGATGAGAGTCAAGCCAAGTGGCCGGAGCTACTCAAGGTCGGCTCTGGTGAGGGTGAGTGCCAGGGGATGGTATTTCACATTGCATTCCAACACCTGAATCTCCGGAGTTGGCCCTAGAGCTCGATTATTCTGTCTCAAACTGTCCCCTACATTTTAGACGCTAATTGTTCAACAAATCCCCAGAATTATCATGCGCTGATAGTTTATTTGCCATTTCAGTTTACAAGGCACTTGTTTCAGACGTCATTCATCATTTATTTTTGGAGCTATGATCATTGATCCTCACGTAGAGTAAACATTGATATTATTTGAAGATGAATGCCATAACACGAATAATTATTTTTAATTTTTGGCGGAAAATTGGGGTCGATGTTGACCCTGATTGAATTTTTAAAAAATAGACCGTTGAATCTACTCAAGTTCCCGAGAAAACGTGCAAAACTATTTCAAAATAGAAATCTTCATCTTTAAATATACCTCGAGAACTTGAAGAGTAAACCAGGTCATCAGACTATGTTTTCAGCCTCAAATTACCCTGGCTATATGACAAAACAATTTTCATTTCCTGTTACGATTCTTCGAAAGATCCTTTGGAAATCAGCTCCATTGCTCGGAAAACCGCTGAAAACTTCACTTATTTTTTCAATTTCAATAAATCTCAAAAATTCATCCAGCATATTTTTGATCTCATGCGCATACCGCTCGGAACCGCCTAAAACCGCTCGCTCTCCTGAAGCCTTCAATCAATCATTCCCAAAACTTCCAGATTTCTCTGGGCTGGTCTGATCCCGTAAACCGCTGAAAACCGCCAGAAACCGCTCACAAATATCTCTTTTCCAGCTTTCAAGTTCCAGGAGAATCTCCTCAAGACGATGATCCAGATCGAGAACACATTCTTCCAGCTGGGTGAATCGTGCAGTAGAAATTGCCTCATAATATGTGACCGAGGAGCAATGGACGCCTCGGCCTTCATCACCAAGGACAAATGGGACCTGATGACCTCCTCCAATGGTTGGAATAACGTTGAACTTCGTGACAACCGCTACAACCAGATCATTCACATGGTGTCGGCTGCCAATGGAGCCGAGGAATTTTACTCCACCGAAGATCACGCCTGCAGATCCGAGGGAATGGAACTCGCTCGAGAACTCGATTACAAAGCAGCCGCCGCCTGGGTCGGACATCCCTACTTCGATGTCATCGATAATTCCCAGGACTTTGAGTCGAAGATCTGTCGAATGATCGAGTGTATCTGTCAGAAATTGGGCATTGACACCGGTGATCGATTGAGAGCCAGTTCTCGTAAGGTCAAGTTCCTGGTGAAAGGACCGCTGCCAGCTGACAGCGAATTTCCACCATTTCAGGACTTCGATGTCGTCCACAACTATCTCCAGAGCAAGACTCCCAAATTACAAGCCAGATTACGCAAGCGCGGGCAGAAAGGTAAGAGAGCGGTTTTCATGTTTTGAATGGGGGTGGAGGGAAGGGCTTAAGACCTGATGCAAAACCGCTGGTCAACCGTTGATTTCTCAGCGAAAACCGCTGGTTATTTAGTTGCAGACCGCTGTTGAACCGCCAGAATTTGAGTCAAAGACCGCTGATAAAATGGGTTATTTCAGTGAAAAAAGTTGGGAAGTTCTTTTTAGATTAGAAACCGCTGATGAACCGCCCATTTTTTCGTGAAATCCGCTCGTAATTAAAAATTGTTTTTTCGCTACAACCCGAGAAATTGTTGAGCAAAATGAATTATTTCTTTTTTTAAGGGGTCCTGAGGGGTTGTTAAGTTGAAAACGCCGACGATTGAGATCAGGCACGAATAGGGGGTTTTATAATGTTTTATTTGCATTTAAGGTCATTGGTCCTATATTCACACACTAAGGAGACCAAAAATGTGTGGACAAGTTGTTGAAGTGAAGACCCAGCTGACGCACAGAGATTATTTGAACATGCTTGCGCAACGCGACGACTCACACTTCACGATATTCAAACGACGTCGATGTTTTCTCATCAATAATCAGTATTTTCAGCTGGATATCTACAGGGAGCCCGGACACCCAAGGTGTGTAATTTCTCTTATCGTGGTTTCTTATCCATTGAATCTAAACAATCAAACGAGCAAAATATAGAACTCAATAAAGAGAGATTAGCGATTATCACACTTGAATAAATTGTAATTGAATTCCAAATTCAAAATTTCAATTTTTATAAAAACGTCATTCTGTAGATCGAAAAATTTACCCAAGGGTGAGTAAAAAACGAGCCATTTTATTTCGTTATTTCTGAAAACAATTTCGCCATAAAACCGCCAGAAACCGCTCAAAACCGCCAGCTGCGACCGCTCGGCATGAAAAACGTTTCAAATTTTAGATAATAATAAAGACGATCCATTTTTCCCGGTTATTGGACCAAACGAGTTTTCATCGGAACCGCCAGAAACCGCTCGAAACCGCCTGACCCGACTGCTCGGTGTGAAAATCGTTTTTTCGCCATTAGTCACGAACCACTGTAGCAAAATGCACGATTTTTTTTAAATTCCATCGAAAATTTTCTGATCTACAGCATGGGATGGGTTGCATATATCTCTATATATCTTTTGATGATAAAATTATCGTGAATAGTGGAATTAATCGTCTTGGGGAATGATAACAGGTGTAGGGGATTGATGCTCTTAGAGACTTACACAGCCCTAGCTGGTGAGGAATTAAAAAACATTCTCCCGAGTTTTTTATCAATCGAGAAAGATGTCACTGGCAATCCAGACTACAGTATGTTCAATCTCAGTCTCAGGGAGGAGTGGAATACCACTGGCAGCAAGTACTCCTATTTACACAGTAAGTAGATCAATATTTCTCATAATTATCTCATCATTCCCTCCTCTCTCATTTCTAAAAAAAATCCTCAAAATTCAAAACCTCCTCCTGATGTCGTCTGGGGGCCAAACCGACCCCACTCGATAGATCTAGAAATCTAAATCGATTTTTAAAAAAAGAGACGATCCATTCTGCGTCTTTATCGATCGATCGGCGATTAAAAAACGTTTTAAAAAAAAAACGGGCAAAATGCGCAATTTTTTTTAAATCTTGAGAAGAATTTTCTTTTGATTGGGTCTTTATCGACCCCATAATTATTTCCTGTATTTTTTTTCTCATCACCATTTCCCAACAATTTCGAAAGAAAAATCGAGAAAATTAATTTTTCCAGGCGCAACGAACGGTGCACTGAGGGTAGATTTTACAAACAACCAATGTGACACCAAGGATGACAACAAATTACACCAGATTAATGGGGTTAATGAGTTGAATGGAGATAATGGAGTGAATGGTGATAAAAATGGTTATGATAGGCAGAATGGTGTTGAGAATGGGTTTAACGGGGTTAAACACAATGGTGTTTGTGGGAAGAAGAAAATTGATGAGAGTGTCAATGGTGATTGTAAAAATGCGCTCAATAATCGATTGAAGATATGAGGGGGAAATGCCAGATCTCAGGAGAGTTTTTAAGGATTGGGGGAGGGAGATTTAGCGGTTGAGGAGTGGTAAAACTGGGCGGTGATTTTTTTAAATATTTTTGATGATTTTAATGGTGGGAAGATGTTTATTAGGGGTCTCGAAATTAATTTGGTAATTTGATGTTGATTTTTTAAAGTGATTTAAATTTTTTTTTTGAGGATTTTGAAGGCTTTATGGAGTTTGTTTTCTGACGTCGATTGACTCGACGAAAAAAGTGTCAGTCGTTTTGAAGATAATCGCGATTAACAAAATATGAAAATAAATTCTTACGTTTTACCACTTCACAACAGACTTACCCATTAAATTCATGATCAAATTGTCTCATTACATTAATTAAAAATTCAATGTTAATAAAATACGTAGTTATTTAAATTTTAGGGATGATGACTAGAAGTAGAATCACGTAGAGTTTTCTTTTGACGGTTAAAATCAATGTAAAGAAGAATTTATTTTTCAGTTCATTATCATTTTGAGAGAAAACAAAATCATTGGTAAAATTGTACTTAATGCTGAAGTATTTTCTTCTACCCTTGAATCACAGGTAATTAAGTGATTTCAGAGTCTACCGGAAGTATTTGACAAGGGGGAGTATCCATTTTACTGAGAATTACTGAGAAAAATCTAAATGTGATAAAAAAAAACAACAACAACAACAAAAATAACAAAAAATTCTGAATTTAACGTTTAAAAGAGAAATAAGTGGATTCATCAAGATATTTATTATGAGATCATGTCATTCACATCTGAGATTGCGAGAATATCCATCAATCATGTATCTGATGACTCATGATTGATCAACTGATCACCTGATCTTTGCATTACTCAATTGAATTCTGAAATATTATGGAAAATGTTGGGGATTTCTCTCATGTAAATCGTGTATTCGTGAAATGGGGAATAATAAGGAAGAATTGAGATAGTTATATTAATTGGCACTGTCGTATGGCAAAAGATTATTTAAGATTCATGTAAAATCGATGAAAAATGATTAAAGAGAGACAATGGTTGATTTTTAGCTCGCTACGACTGATCCTGAGGTGGCAGAATGGTCCTGGCCCTCCAGAATACGTTCAAATGCATGAAAAATATATTCCAATTAACGGTGGAAGGTAAAATAATCGTTAAGAGCAATAATGAGTAATTAATCATTAATCAAGAGCAAATGACGACATTTGGAAAATCAGTTGAATTTAATGTGTTTATTATTCTTTCATTATCTCGTTAATGACGGGATCGAGAAGAAAATGTGATAAGAACATTTTTGTGGGGAATTTAATTTTCTACAAAAATGTCTGATAACAGTTTTCTCTAAAACAATCCATTAGTGAGATAATCAGCAGTTGATAAGATCAGATAAACGATTTCCTGAATTTTCGTCCTGAAAAGTCATTGTCCACTCAACTAATTTTTCTAATTTTTATAAATATCGTACGACAGTGACAATAAACAGTTCAATACTATCAATAATTGATCGCAAATACGAATTCATCGCTATGAAATTATTTTTGCTACTGAATTCTCATTTATAAAGAAAAAAAAATTGACAAAAAAATGAAAAAAAAAAATTCTGGATGAATTCTCACGGATGCACGATCCAATTGTTCGATTTCTCCCACCCCACCTGTAACAATTATTTATTATAGATAATAACGGGAGCCGAGGGTTTTAGGTGTGAAAAAAACATGAAAAATTGGGTAAAAATTATCAGTAGTCATTGGTAGTACTTAATTAATGGACATGTACCTAAAGAATTTAAAAAAGATGAAAAATCTCGAATCTCCTTTAATTAATTAATAATTTAATCGACAAGTTTGTCTAGTTGCTGAGCAAGGAGATAAACTGAAAAAACAAAATCTGGAGTTAATTTCACTCTTAATAGTGTAAATGATTTTCCACGAATAATTTACCGAATTATCTCTGATAAAACGTTTGAAAACCTCTGGAAAAAATCGAGATGAAGTGCCTGCGAGAATATTCGAATGCATAAACAATATTAAAAAATAATAAATAAACAGTTTCAGATATATTTTCAATGATGAATGCTATAAGAATGATAATGTCACTTGCAATTATTTAATGAAAAAATGAAAGATGATGATTTCGTCTCTATTCGACGTTGTACCTAAGATTTTAAGAATAAAATATCCTTCGTCTGCCACTTGTCAATTTATTGTCCTCGTTCAAAACTGATTCCTCAGCAGCAAAAAAAAATTGAATAACTGCTTGTCAAAAACGACAATAATTCAAAAAAATTCATGAAAATCATTGCATTACTAAAATTGATGAAATGACGACACCGAGGCAATTTCAACTATTCATATATACTTTATTAATTAAATTGTTTAAAATTTGTCATACAATGATGGAACGTCTCGACCAATAAGTCCGCACATTAATTTGTATAATTAATTAATTTGTTTATTAATTAGTAATACTCGTGGAAAACATCATTTCCAGTTTGATTTTCTCATTCGTTAAATTTTAGAAATTGTTTACGGGGATGAAAAAAAATTATCTTCTACTCTGGGAGGATTTATTCTATGTTCTCTGCGGAAGATATCGACAGCATCGGAATTAAAATGGAAAGAAAATTGAAGAAATCCTATTTTTACTGGTCTGTTTGTTTCATTGGATTGCGTGTCTAATTATTATTTATTAGTTATTGATGAATCAATAATAACATTGTAAAATTCTAGAAGAGTCTGGAAGTAGTAAATGTCCTCGGAACATTGAAAAATTGTACAGAAACTTTCATATCGCGGGGATTTGGGAGTTGAAGGGCGAAGTGATTTGATAAAATTGCATGATTAATGATGGAATTTCCCCATTTACTCCCAGAATCCACCATTCGCCTGCTAATCATCAGGAAGATTATCAATGAATAATCGGAAAAAACATCATTATATCTCAAAATCTGCCCTACGGTATTTGGTAAAAGTGCAAATATTCGTTCACAATAGTTACGTAGATCCACCTTATGATTATTTATGTTTATCTGTGATTTGGAGTTATTTGGAAGCAATGAACTATGGTACGTCGGTTCCACAACCTCGCCAGTGTCTCCAGGGGCTTTGGGAGACGTTTTGTCTTACATTTTGGGGTTTTCTTCAATTTTAAGTCGTGCGTTTCACATGATTTTCATGCAGCTGGGCCCAATATTTTCGTTTTTGTTCGGATTAATACAGTAATGAGTAATTATGGGGGTACAATGACATTAAAATCGAATGGAATCATCCCCTGAACTTTATGAATCCCATTCAAGTGGAATTTGTCGATTTGTTAATTATGAAATTATCTCAATAATGAGTGGTTTTGGGGGAAAATGTCAAGAGACGTTTTTTGTCATTTATATTGAAGATTTTGGGAAGAGGTGAGATTGATTCATTGACTGGAGAATTTTGTTGAATACGATGACATTTTTGGGATTGCAACATAATAAAAAATGATCGATTAAATCCACTATTGGTGAATATTACTGACAATTCAGAATGACTCTTGATATTCATTAAATCCCCGCATGAATCCCAATCAAGTGGAATTTACCGACTTAGTTGGTTAATCGCCTAAAAACAATTACGTTTACCTAAAAATTTCAAGACAATTTTTACGCAGAAAATTCCCTCACCCACAAAAAAAGATAATTTCATAATCACCCAACGACTCAAAACACCCTCATCGATTCCCCAATCATCAACTGAAAATCATCAAAGTGCCCCTCGAAAACCCCCATTTAAAAAAATGCACAATTGCGCCCCCAAGACCCCCTAAATCCTAAAAAACTGCATCTATCTACCGACAGCCTTGGCCTGTTGTGCTTTGTACATCTTCAAGACTTTCTTCCCAGGTACGAGGTTCTGCGCCAGACCCGGTCGCTTCTTCCTCTTGGTCAGATTATTCTCCTGATCCACCTCATCGTCCTCCTCGTGTCCCCCCTGATTATGGAAATTCGTCTGGCATATGATAGTCTCCTCAGGTGCTCGACTCGACTCCAGCTCGGCTGCACTCCTGTGGAGGTCCGAGTCATGAGCAAATGTGCAGTTGTGCCCAAAACGACACCTCCCCTTCCTGTAATTCCAGCAGATCTTCCTCCCATTGATCATCTTGGTGTCGTCCAGGGTCGGCGTCATCTTCACGTGCTTCTCCAATATCGCACTCTTCGCTTTTTCAGCCTCCACGAAGGGATTTATGAAGACCGACGTCTTCAATGTGGGCGTCCCGTTGAAGTCGGGAGTTGGTAATGGAAGTTTTGGGATGCTGGAGTGGTTCGACACCTCGGGATCACTCTTTAGGTTCTCCTCATCATCTTCTGCCTCATCCCTAGACCTAAAAGCCAATTTAACTCTCATCCTCTTCATCTCGTGATCTATCTCCGGCTCTAGCATCCATCCAAATTACGATATCGAGATAAATTCAATTTCATCCGACAGCTAGGAAAATTTACGATTTTAAACCCTGTCATGAACCCATTTTGCCCCACAAATACTTGAAAAATCTCAAAAATAAAAAAATGAGAGAAGTTCAATTTCACTCGCAATTCGATCCATCGTGGGGCGAAATGGGTCGTTTTTTTGGGGTGCGAAAGGTGGAAAAATGTGCGATTTTAGCCCCTTGTCATTAACCCGTTTTGCCCCACAAATACTTGAAAAATCTCAAAAATAAAAAAATGGGACAAAAGTTTAATTTCGCTCACAACTCTCTTATTTTCGGGGCAAAATGGGTCATGTTTTTTTATTCAGCTTTAAATTTCCCGATTTATCGAATGCCCTTCACCGCCCACCCCTTCCCCGCGCCTCCTCGTGATGACAATTTTCCAGACTCCGAAAAAAAATGATGGAAAATGGGCGGAAATCACTCACACGTTATCACTGCAGTCGTCCTCACTCTCAGATCCCGAAGATGTGCCGTAATCAGCGACCAAGGAAGCCATATTACCCGGTTAAACCCTTGGAAACCCTTGTGACCCTAACCCTAATCCATGAGAGCCCCTCAAAATACAGCGAAATAACCTCATCTGTCGTAAGACTAGAAAAACAACAGACGTGTGTTTTTCTAGCTGTAGTGTTGCCGATTTTTCATTCGGAGATGGCTGGACTCGCCATCTGGGAGAATAGGCTGGGGGTTGATTTGAAAATTGGCGGGAAAGTGGGTCTAGGTGGGTCAATTGTCGAGGGGTGGGTGAAATTGTGGGACAAGTGGAGCGGCATCGTGCGGATGATTCCCTTTGGCTCGAGTATAATTTAAAAAAATTATGGGTCAAATCTTGTTGGTACGTAAAATGGGTCAAATCATGTGGGTCAAAAATTATAGAATGAATATCATACGGATCAAATTGTATTGCATTGTGGGTCAAAGCTCAAAATAAATTTCGTGGCCCAAATTATGTAGAATTTAGGATGGCTCAAACCAGGTTGAATCTAGAATGGGTCAAATCTTCTTGGTAAGTAAAATGGGTCAAATCTTATGGGCCAACCCGTGGGTCAAAAATTATAGAATGAATATCATACGGATGAAATTGTATCGAATTATGAGTCATGTATCAAAATAAATTTCGAGGGCCAAATTATGTATAATTTAGGATGGGTCAAACCAGGTTGAATCTAGAACGGGTCAAATCATAAGGGTGAATCCGTGGGTCAACCATTATGAAATAAATTCTATTCTCCAAGTCATGTAGATCACACCATGACTCAAATTCCATCCCATCTTCGCTCAAAAATTCCAAAACCCCCCGTGGGTCAACTAGAAAACCCGGACCCCCGGGTCAAAAAAAGAAAAAAAAAGTCCCACCGCCCGGAACAGCCCGTAGCCGCCATCTCGCGGCCCCGCCACTACCCCACATCCCCCCACCCCACCCGCAACCCATCGGGATCGTTTCAAAGTGCCCCCGTAGTTTCCATCCTCAAAAAAACCTACTCCAAGACCCGTGAAAACTGGCGTTGATTCGCGTCGTCAGGACCGTGCCTGTGCCTCCTCCATAAGTTTTTCGCCGTGTCGTGACTTTCCACGGGTATCTCAACAAAGCCCTTGTCTCACCCAATCGTCTAAACCGCCCCCTCCCCCCAAAACCCCCCAACAACCCCTCGTTGCCCAAAAACTCCCCCCGAAAACCCCTTTAAAAAAAACTCAATAAAAAAAAAATATTCAATTGTGTGGTGGAACGAGTGTAGTGGAGGTATCAGTGAATGGAACGCTTCACCGAGACGAGTTGGATCGCCTGGTGAGTCCCATTATGCCCCCCCTGGAGCCCCTCCACCCCCTCGGGGGGCAACGCTGATGCCTTTTCCTCCCAGAAAAACTCTCTTCAGCCCCTCCCCCCCTTTGAATCAGTGAAAAAATCATTTTTTCCCTCTCTCTCACACAATTTTTTTCCCCTTTTTTCTTTTTTACAACTCAATGGCCGAATTGAAGTGGTCACGTGACGTGCGTGTGTTGAAAAATTTTACATATGTGTAGGTGATACATATATTAGGGGGCCGGGGGGTTGGGGGGTTCGTGTCATGTGTAAAAAAAATGAGAAAAAAAAGTTGAGAGAAAAACGAGAAAAATTTTGTGCAGGAAAAATTGTTTTGACCTTGACGTGAGGGTGGGGGGCGAGGGGTGCTTTTTGGAGGGGGCGGGCGATGAGAGGGTGGGAGGGAGGGGGTGTTTGTTGATTTTTTTTGTGCTGCGGTTTTTTTGAGGGAAAATAGAGGGAGAAAATAATGGAGAGAAAAAAAATGAAGAGGAGTTGAGCGTCCTTTCGTGCACTCTCCACCTCCACCGCCGCCACCATCGCGCAATGGGGGGGCGGGGGGGTGGAGGGTTGTGGAGGGGGGCGTGTGTACTACGGCGGTGGCAAAGGGACAGGGACAATGACAACGTGTGGGGAACGTGGGGAATTTTTTTATGGGTCTGAGTTTTTTTTCTGGATTTTTATCGGTTTTTGTGCATTTTTTTTGTGGAGGGGAAGGGGGGGGGCTGTTTGGGGGGGGGAATTCGAGAAATTTTTTTTTTGGGTTTTTGGTTTATGTAGATTTTTTTAGGGGAAATGTAGAATAGTGAAAAGAGTGAGTGATTTATTTATTTTTGATTAATTAATCAATTAATTAATTAATATCTTCATTTAGTTGTTCATCAATTTTTTTATTGAAATACGAATTCAACGGTTTTTAAAATATTTCTATAGTTTTTCTGATTTTTATAGTTTTTCTTAATTTGTATTTGTTTTTTTGGCGGGGGAAGGAAAGCGATTTGTTCACGGGATAAATTGAAAAAAATATATATCTTTGAGTTTTCAATTTTCATACATTTTTTACGGATAATGAAGCGCGAGATAAATGATAAAAGAATTAGAATTTGAGAACTGAATAAATGATTTAGAGAATTATCCTGATCTTGATGGATTATTTTGTTTCTTAATTTGTTGTCTAGGAGTGAAAAGGGTTAGTCGAGGGAACACATGTTGATAAAATGTCGGGATCACAGCGAATGAGAAAATCATCGCCATGTTCAACGACAAAGCAGGGACCAATGCGCGCAACCCTGCCGGTTAGTTCGTTATTACGACAGAGTAGACAGGGAAGTAGTTTGCGTAAAAGTAACAGCAACAGTCCAACTGTATCGCCAACTAATGCCAATGCATGGAGGGCACGCATATCACCGGATACGTCGGCGTCGTCAGGACAGAGGAGTCCTGGATCACTCTCGTACAAAGGTGACAGGGTTTTATATTTTTACGGGGGTTGTGATATTTATTGAATTGCTGAATATCAATGCCAGTGGAATTTGTCGATTTTTTAATTATGATATTATCTCAAGAACGTGGGGATTTGGGGGAAAATATTAAGAGAAGTTTTTTATAATTTATATTGAAGATTTGGGAAAAGGTGAGATTGATTCATTGATTGGAGGATTTTGTTGAATACGATGACATTTTTGGGATTGCAACATAATTAAAAATGATCGATTGAATCCACTATTGGTGAATATTACTGACAATTCAGTCTAGTTTTTTTCAAGTCACATTTCACACGATTTCAATGCACCTGGGCTCAATATGTTCGTTGGGACATTTTCCGTCAACTCGCCGGACGATTTTGTTTGGATAAATACACTAATGAATAATTATGACTCTTTGTTTGAAAGTTGATTGGTATTGTCATGTGAAAATACAACTATTAAAATAAAACTACAAATTAATAAATGGGAAAGACGTACGGTAACTCAATAGAGAATGTTCCAACGAACATAATGAGCCCAATGACATTAAAATCAAATGAAACCAGTGACTCAAATGATCGTTATAGACTGAATAATTAGTTGTATCCAGACATCAATTGCTGAATATCAATGCCAGTGGAATTTGTCGATTTTTTAATTATGATATTATCTCAAGAACGTGGGGATTTGGGGGAAAATATTAAGAGACATTTTTTATAATTTATATTGAAGATTTGGGAAAAGGTGAGATTGATTCATTGATTGGGGGATTTTGTTGAATACGATGACATTTTTGGGATTGCAACATAATTAAAAATGATCGATTGAATCCACTATTGGTGAATATTACTGACAATTCAGTCTAGTTTTTTTTCAAGTCACACATTTCACACGATTTCAATGCACCTGGGCTCAATATGTTCGTTGGGACATTTTCCGTCAACTCGCCGGACGATTTTGTTTGGATAAATACACTAATGAATAATTATGACTCTTTGTTTGAAAGTTGATTGGTATTGTCATGTGAAAATACAACTATTAAAATAAAACTACAAATTAATAAATGGGAAAGACGTACGGTAACTCAATAGAGAATGTTCCAACGAACATAATGAGCCCAATGACATTAAAATCAAATGAAACCAGTGACTCAAATGACCGTTATAGACTGAATAATTAGTTGTATCCAGACATCAATTGCTGAATATCAATGCCAGTGGAATTTGTCGATTTTTTAATTATGATATTATCTCAAGAACGTGGGGATTTGGGGGAAAATATTAAGAGACATTTTTTATAATTTATATTGAAGATTTGGGAAAAGGTGAGATTGATTCATTGATTGGGGGATTTTGTTGAATACGATGACATTTTTGGGATTGCAACATAATTAAAAATGATCGATTGAATCCACTATTGGTGAATATTACTGACAATTCAGTCTAGTTTTTTTCAAGTCACACATTTCACACGATTTCAATGCACCTGGGCTCAATATGTTCGTTGGGACATTTTCCGTCAACTCGCCGGACGATTTTGTTTGGATAAATACACTAATGAATAATTATGACTCTTTGTTTGAAAGTTGATTGGTATTGTCATGTGAAAATACAACTATTAAAATAAAACTACAAATTAATAAATGGGAAAGACGTACGGTAACTCAATAGAGAATGTTCCAACGAACATAATGAGCCCAATGACATTAAAATCAAATGAAACCAGTGACTCAAATGATCGTTAATAGACTGAATAATTAGTTGTATCCAGACATCTCAACGAATGACTCTTGATATTTATTAAATCGATGAATTTCAGTTGTGTTCATTCTCATTCAAGTACATTTTTCGTAGACGATTTCCTAATTTACAAAAATATTCTTTGACATTTGTCGTTGAACCAATAATTATCAAGATCATCTCCCAATTGAGCAGTTACTCTAAAAAATATTGAATTCACGTGATAGTGCTCACCAAAACCCTAATTCTAATTCCATAATAATGAAATTCTCCAGCCAAATCAAAGACACTGACTGGCCGGGGCAGCGATGGTCTGAGTGGTAACCAAAACATCCGCAGAACCGCTTCCCTGGACACGATTTACTTGAAGGGCCAGTGGCCCCGTGACTCGTACTACGTGCACACAAGTCTCCTCCTCGTCGACAAATCCACCCAGACAGATGAGTGGTCCAGCGAGCCCAGGAAAATGACACACAGTAGACATCAGACTGAACCGACCAACATCTCACAGGATGAGAAATTGCCCATGGACAAGTACATAAGACAAAGGTAATTAAAATTATTAATCAATTTCTTCTTTTGTCTCTTCTCAAAAAAATTTCACTTCTTCTTTGAAAAAAAATTTATTCTGTTGGTAAATGCCTCTTAAATTTTATTCCTCTTAAATGGAAAAATGTTTCTTGACATTTTGCAAAAAAAAACTTCAATTTTTCATTTAATTGGATTATTTAAATCCCTTCACAAATTATTTTAGAAAAATTCTCTGTTGACAAGTGAATTTAATTATTAATTATGCTTTCCTTTTGAATTTGTCGTTCATTTTTTATTTTTTGTCATTTTTTTTTCTAGATTACAACGGACAAATAAGGAGAGCACGAGTTGTAGAGAGCGAACGACTGCGTTTGGATTGATAATGCCAGGTGGACCACCCCCTGCACTCCCTGGGGACCACACTGTCCTCCTCCCCAGTATTGCATCACAAATATCGATACGTAAGTAGTTACAATAGTTCAGTTTAATTGCAATTTTTTCCTCTTCCATTTTTAATTAATTGTCGAATTAATTCCATTGTCGAATAAATTGATGTAATCATTTTTCACTGGTGTAACAATAATGTTTAATGATTAATTGCACTGTTTATGGGGAATTGAATGGATCAATTGATTTTTGTTATTTGTTTTTTCAACAGAAAATCAATTTAGTTTGAGTACAAAAGCAAGCCCCATGAACATACCAGTGAAACCAATGAGAACACCAATGCGGGCTTCGGTTGAGGCTCTCAATCAGGAGGTGGAGGGACTCGTTCTCACGCCAAACTCGAATAGTAATGATCCTGATCATCCAGTTGAAGATAAGGTAAAGTTAACAATTTAAAATGTCAAATTTTTGTTTTTAGTTGAACAAAAAATTGAACTCTCATTTGAAAAAAATTATTTTCAATGAAAATAATAAGTTTCAGATAATAATCTTTATTTTTAAATTCAGATTTGAACTAAATAAAAAAAAAAAAATCTCTTTTAATCGTTCAGTCCCCAAAAGAGTCCTCAAAATTCAATTTTCCCTCTGGAATTTGTTAATTATGTCTCAATTTCAATTCCAGTACGCGAGATATCGTGAACAGATGACCCCAGAGGGTCACAGGGCTCCCCTGGCGGATCTCCTGCGGGCAACACGCAGCGTAAACACCCAGACACCAGCCACAGACCTTCCCTCGAGTTCGTATTCCTCAGGTAAATACCAAAACCAATTTTTTTCCCTGAAGAAAAAATTTCTCAAGGCTCCCCAGACCCCCAGAAGTCCTTCTCCCTTGTTTCTAAACAGATAAATTAATTTTCTAACGAGTTTTGCTGACGTATTACCTTATTAACGAGTTAATGATGGAATTAAGGGCCACCATCTAGGAATTCCGAGTCTCCACTGATACCAGGGCTGTTGGATACGTCACGTCCATCTAGCGATCTACCACAAGGTCGGCTGATTAAGGATTCACCGTCATAAATAATTAATGCATTAATTTGTTTGATCTCTTGCATTGAAATTGTAACTCCATTTTTTTTTTATTCTCGATGTTGTCATTTATTTTTAGCATGAGAGTATTGTAACGCAAGCCAGGAACGAGACTTTTTTGTTCAGTATTTTTCGTGTTTTTTTGGCTCTTGTTCCTTCTTTGGATGATTTATGAGAATTGAAAAAGAGTTTTCTGGGGGTTTCGCTGGTTATTGATTTGGCTTTTTTTTGGGATTCGTAGGTGGAAGTCGTGGATCAACTCCGGACCAGGAGAGGGAAGGACGATTAGGGACATCGCCCCACATCAACAGGTTCTTGGCGAGAGAACCCCCTGATGGCTGCGAAAAAGTTAATCTCAAATTCGTCGAGGATGCCAGGTAATGATTAAGACTTCTAGATTGACTAAGCGAGGAAATGTCAAGAGATTTCTGTAGATTAGAGAATTTTCAGAAACAAATTTCTTGGAATAATTTCATAATTAACAAATCGACAAATTCCACTTGACTGGGACTCATAAAGTTCAGGTGAATGTAACACAACTGAAATTCATCGATTCAGTAAATATCAAGAGTCATTCGTTGAGATGCCTGAATACAACTAATTATTCAGTCTAATTTAATTATCTTGCAATCCCAAAAATGTCATATTCAACCAAATTCTCCAATCAATGAATCAATCTCACCTCTTCCCAAATCTTTGACATAAATTACAAAAAACGTCCCTTGACATTTTCCCCCAAATCGATAAATTCCACAGGTGAAATTCATCAAAAAACACTCACAACTATCCATCTCAAAACCCAAAAATCCAATCCCTCAAGTGAAAATCTTCTATGTCATCTCCAACTAATAACTTAATTCATTTTTCCACACGAATAGGCGGCCAATGATTGATGTCAGTAAATTGGATTTTCACCCGAAGCCATGTCAAGGATTCCAGTTGAAACCAAGTCTTGGCTCGGCATTTCTACCCCTGCAACAGCACCCAGTAAGCCCAACAGTTATATCCGGAAACCAATCACCATCGTCACAAGTAAATCCCTCAACACCACCTCCCAATCCATAGTCCCCTCCCTTCCTCCTCCCCTCCCTCCCCCACTCACCCCCCACAAGTGTCAACATTCGTATTTTTTATTACCTTTTTTTACGACAAATATTTTACTAATTAAATTACGAGGAGAACTCCCCCCAAAATTCCCCTGCAATTCTCCCCTCCCCAAAAAAATGAAGATATCTCAAAGTGTAAAATTAAAATTCATTGTAAAAATTTATTAACTGTCTTTCCGAAGGCATTAAAATTGTGGTGATGATGTTGACGATTGGAGAAAGTTATTTCGAAGTATTTCGCAGGGTTTTTAAATATTATTCGATGATTAATCATCATCCGGAGAATTGCAGGATGACTTTGGGGATAAAGTTGTATTTTTACGTTTAGATTTAACGAAAAATGGAAACTGACCATGTACAACCAATCAATTAATTAAAAAGAAAAAAAAAGTTAGTAAATGTTAAGAGAATCAATGGGCTCTCAGCCTTGAGGTCTGAAAAAAGTGAATTTTTTCAGAGAATTTAAAAAATATAAAATAAACTTTTTTTTCTAAATAAATTGTGCGTACGATTCTATATTTATTTACCTCATATTTATTTCGGAATTTTTTTTTCCAAATCGAATGATTTTCGACACATTTTCAAAATAATTTTTCATCCCTTCCAAAATTACAATGTTTTAGCTAAAAAAAATGAAAGAAAAAAGATGGAAAAATTCCCCTACCCCTCAAGCAAAATTTTCCTTTGTTTCAATAAAAAACCCCTAATGACCATGCGCAGGGCCCAGTGACATTACCGACCAGTCATGTTTACATCCACCCGTCTGTCAAACATAAAAAATCTTAGTTCACCAAAAAATATCTCTAAAACTCTTGAGAACCTGTGAAAAACCTTCAAAAACCCCCGGAAATCCCCCTAGAACCCCCACGACCCCCTGGAACCTCGAAAAATCCCGTCATTTCCCCTAAATATCCTCTTGATACTTATCCCAACCTAAAAAAAATTCTCTCAAAATGTCAAAATAACAAATCTCACGAATTCCCACCCTATAAAACCCTCAAAACCCTAGTGAAATCCCCCTAGAACCCCCACTGCAACCTGAGAACTCAACAAATTCCTCCCCGGCCCCTATTATCCCCTAAATGTCACTTCGACAGCTCATTCCAACCTCAAAACAATTTTCCTCCCCTCAGACCCCCTAAAAAAAATCTCCCAAGTGCGCAGCCTCGGTGACATTACCGATCGGTCATGTTTACATTTTCCCGTCTGTCAAACGCACCTAAAAAACCCCAGTGAACCTAAAAATATCTCGAAAACCCCTAAAAACCTGTGAGAAACCCTTAAAATCCCTTGAAAATCCCCCTAGAACCCCACGACCCCTTGAAACCTCGAAAAATCCCCTCATTTCCCCTACAATCCCCTGAATGTCCCCTCGATATCGATTCCAACCTCAAAAAAATTCCCTCAATAAAACAAAATCATAAATTCCAACCCTCCAAAAACCTCAGAAACCCTCGAACCCCTAGTAAAATCTCCCTAGAACCCCCGCTACCCCTTAAAACCTCAAAAAATCCCCTCATTTCCCCTACAATCTCCTAAATGTCCCCTTGATACCCATTCCAACCTCAACAAAATTCCCTCAAAGCCGCAAAAAAAAAATTTCATAAACTCCCACCCTCCAGAAACCCTGAAAACCCTAGTAAAATCCCCCTAGAACCCCTATTTTCCCCTGAAAACTCGAAAAATCCCCTCTTTTCCCCTATTATCCCCTAAATGTCACATCGCCCCCTCATTCCAACCTCAGAACAATCCCCTCCCCCTCGAACCCCCTGAAAAAGTCGTTGAGAATCGTTCCCAAAATTCGATTAATCGACTCGAAAAATGTTCGAGACGCCGGGCTGGTCGTCCTCTCGGGACGAGGAGATCCACAAGGCAGCGGGTAACGTCCAGCTCCGTAAATACGGTCAATTCTTCTCGCGTCTCTCGCGCACCTGGTGGGAGCCCTCATCGACCCTGGACCATGTTCTCGAGGGCCCGATCCGCCTGGTCTACCGCATCACCGAGTCCGAGAGTCTCCTCTCCCTCTCGGAGATGGAGAACAAGCACCTGTCGAAGATCCTGGCGACGGTGGCGGGCACCTGTCGGGAGATCCGCGCGCTCAAGTCCGAGTTCCCTGATCTCTACTCGAAGATCCTGTACAACTCCGAGAAAAATCACCAGGACAACTACAGCGGCCTCTTCGGGGACCTGCAGGACCTCTCGGTCTTCTGCAACCGGATCTCCTCGGTGATCCACCTGGCGATTGAGCAACTGTCGAGCCTGACGAAGACGTCCAACGAGATCTACTTGCCCGCGATGATCGAGCAACTGATAGATCTCTTCGTCATCCTGGTGACCCTGGACGAGGTCGTCGAGGCGCATCAGACCCTCCAGGAGAGCTGGCGAAAGTACCGGATCCAGGTGCGGACGGTCATGCACAATCCGCAGAAGTTCTCCCTACCTGAGAATCGATTGGTGACGTTCGACGAACTGCTGAAGGATCTGCACGCGCAGCTGTTCACGCGGAATTTGTTCCTCCGCGCGGTGGAGGGGGTGATGAACATCAGCAAGACACCGCTGATGAACGACCACCTGTTGAGCTACCTCAGGAACATCTTCACGGAGGTCGAGACGAAGATCCTCTCTCCGCACCTGATCAGTAGGAACGTCGTGCGGACGAACGTGGGGATCGTCCTGTCGACGAAGCTCTTCGGTGTGTGCGACAAAAAGCTGCAGAAGAGAGTGGTGGAGATCAACAAGAAGATCTACGCAGTGGCCCTCGTGGGGAATGTCCTGTGGGTGCCCTCGCGGTTCCTCTCGGAAACTCTGCCAAAAGATTTCGCGAACTCGTGCGTCACGCCACAGGTGGGGGAGAAGCTCCTCGCCGCAATGATTCAGAAGCTTCCGCAGAATTACGGAAGCATCGTTCATCGATCCATGATCTGGTGCATGGACGCGCGGAATTTGCTGTCGGACTCGGAGTTCCAGATTCAAGACATTAAGAAGCAGTACAGCCTTTTGAAACAGGTGGTGGGACTCTTCCAGCAGATCAACGAGGTCGTCTTCACGGTTACAAATCTCCACGCGGAATTGTCCAAGCCGATGACCCGCGGAACGGTTCAGATCATTTGTCGATTAGTCGAGATGCAGAAGACGTTGGAGTCGACTCTTCGCAATCTGGGGCCTAATATCGTCCAGGCGCAGGGACGATCCCTCCAGTGTCTCTCCTACGAGATCCTCTTGATCCTGGAGTCCGCGCGGAAGGGGCTTGTTCAGAAGGATCAAGGCTACAGCCGAGAACGGCTTGACGCGTTATCCCTCATGAACCTGGCGATGAAACTGATCGATACCACACCGTCTTCCGACCGCAGGCTGATCGCGCGCTGCGCGTTGACCATCTCCCGTCAGCTGTCGGACACCTTCAAGGATGAGGACGCGGTCAACCTCAAGCAGAAGCTAGACGACTTCGACACGATCGCGGATCTGGACTCCATCATCTCCGAGGCATGCGACTACTCGGTCCTCATTCACTACCAGAACATGATCCCCGCTTACCTGACATCGGTCTCAGAGGGCGATCAAGACGTCAGTCACGTTCTGCATCTTCTCAACGCGTTTAATTCCGCGGTTATCAAGATCGGACGGTCGGAGGTGACAGAGGCCAAGGTCAAAGATCTGAAGGAGTCTCTCATCAAGAATATCCTGGAGCCCGCGTGTCGGGAGATCGAGACAAGTCTCCGTCTTCACGTGCACGCACACCTGAAACTGGACTCCGCGAACCCCTTCAAAATCGGTGTTAAGGACGGCGGAAGGATCGTCCGGTCATCTCCGCTGCCGATCGCGAGTTCTCTCATAAGTTCCAAACGATTTATCGAACACTACCTCGACGACATGTTCTACAACCTCACAACAGTGGCGCTGCACGACTGGAGGACCTACAGAACAATGCACACCCTCGCCAAGTACAAGTTGGGCCTGGAAACCGTGCAGAATCATCTCCCGACGCAGACGCTCGAGCAGGGGCTCGACGCGTTAGAGATCATGCGGAACATCAGCGTCTTCGTCTCGAAGTACCTCTACAACTTGAACACCCAGACTTTTGTGGAGCACACGAGCGCCAACAAGCACCTGAACACCATCGGCATCCGCCATATCGCCAACTCCATCCGCACACACGGCACCGGAATTATGAGCACAACTGTAAACTTCGTCTATCAGTTCCTCCGCGTCAAGCTCCACACGTTCTCACAATTCCTCTTCGATGAGCATATCAAGTCTCGTCTTCTACGCGACATCAGGTTCATCAGGTCTCAGAGAGAGCGCGACGAGGTGCCGTACACATACGAACGCGCGGAGAAATTCCAGAAGGGAATCCGCAAACTGGGAATGTCGGCGGAGGGATTGAGCTATCTCGATCACTTCCGCCAACTGATAACGCAGATCGGAACCGCGCTAGGGTACGTCAGACTCATCCGGTCTGGCGGGCTACACGCGTCGGCGAACGCGGTTTCTTTTCTTCCGGAGATCAAGTCCTCCGCGCGTTTCGAAAGCGCCTGCGAGAGTCTCGAATATTCCGCTACAACGAAAGCTGCCGCGAAACGGTTGGACGACGACATTGGAAATCTCGTCCGCAATTTCACGGAGGGAATTCAATACTTCAAATTACTTGTCGACGTCTTCGCTTCCGCGTTCCGCGACCCCAAGAGTTTTCATCTCCAGCAGTTCTACGCGATCATTCCTCCGCTGACCTTGAGCTTTGTTGACAATGCCGTTGCGAATAAAGAGAAGATCTTCAAGAAGAATAAGGATGGCGCTGCATTCACTGACGACGGTTTCGCGATGGGCGTGGCTTACGTCAACGCACTTCTCGATCAAGACGCGGAATTGGACGGACTCCAGTGGTTCGAGACTGTTAATGGGCATTTTAATCTGGAGAAAACGGCGGCGGAAGTGAGGGCAGATGGAGGGGATGAAAAACTGCAGCAGACGAAGGCTCTGACGCTCAAGCGGATTGCGCAACGCACTGCGGAATTTCAACTGCTTTATTATTCGCTCTCCGGGGCTAGGGTGTTTTTCAAACAGCCTGAGGCGTGATTTTGGGCATTTTAAGGTTCGAGGGGTCATTCTGAGCATTTTTCATCAGTTTTTGTAATGTTTGAAATTCTGCGTTTTGTTAATAAATGAGAGTTTTGTTAGAGTTCTGCGTTTTTTTTCTTTTTTTTGGGGGTGGAGGGGAATGGGGGAGCGGCGGAGAATTTGACCAGCAATTGGGGAAAAAATAATTGTCGGGGGTAATTTGCGGCGGAAAAAATCGAGACGAAGGCTCTGACGCTCAAGCGGATTGCGCAACGCACTGCGGAATTTCAACTGCTTTATTATTCGCTCTCCGGGGCTAGGGTGTTTTTCAAACAGCCTGAGGCGTGATTTTGGGCATTTTAAGGGTCGAGGGGTCATTCTGAGCATTTTTCATCAGTTTTTGTAATGTTTGAAATTCTGCGTTTTGTTAATAAATGAGAGTTTTGTTAGAGTTCTGCGTTTTTTTTCTTTTTTTTGGGGGTGGAGGGGAATGGGGGAGCGGCGGAGAATTTGACCAGCAATTGGGGAAAAAATAATTGTCGGGGGTAATTTGCGGCGGAAAAAATCGAGACGAAGTCTGCGGAAAAAATCGGCGTGAATGTTGCGGAGAAAAAATTGAAATTTCCCTGGCTCTCCGATGAAATTGGTATCAGGGTGATTTTTGGGTTTTTGAATAATTGAGATTTTTTGTATTTTCGAGGTCTAATGTCTTCTCTTCAGTTTTTAATAATAAATACATCACAATAACAATATAAATATAGTAACCCATGAATGACTGGTAACAACATACATTGTGGGACTACGATTATGGTAAAAATGACTAGTTTTGTTATGGGTGATAACAAAATCATTAAGGATCATCTCATAATTTTTTCGTTCAATCTTTCAGGATCTAGAACAAAATATAAATAATTTTTTTTTAGAGAATTTAATTTCCCACAAAAAATGTATAAAATTTTCCTCTAGATCACTCACAACCGAGATAATAAAAAACTAATAAAAAATAACTTCACCATTTTGGAATTAAATAAAAATTTCGTCATTAAGTATTCTGGGACTACAAGATTCGTTGATACCCCAGTCTTACCCTAAGAAAATATCAATCTAGTGAGATTCATCGAAAATTACCTAGCCCACTAAGAATCCTGATTTTAATCAAAGCATTGCCTATTCCTCTCTCTTTGGTTTCTTTCTTTCAAGTCTGAGGTCTGGAGGACTCCTCTGGGTCCAGTAGATCGTCGCAAGATGCAGTGGGAGGCAGCAACTGTCTCCCACCTCGTTTCTTACTGCGGGTGAAGACTTTCGTAAGTTGAGCAAACTTACGACGTGAAACTGCAGATGAAAATAAATATTTTTTTGTTGCAGTAATGAAAATAAATATTTTTTTGTTGTAGTAATGATTGTCCAAGTCTTCGGTTTATGGTAACGGTGAAATGTTTATGATAGGAAAATTTTGAGGATGAGGTTTTAATTTTCTGTACGAGAGAGATGGAGTGCAAATGCTCTGTGGGAGTTTTACGTATCTTGGGTGTGTGAATTTTTCCAATCACCTTTCCCCATGTTTCTCAGTCTCTCCTTGAACAAATCCTCCTCATCATGGCTGTCGTGGAGATCAGCAGAGGTGCAACGACCCCCACGAGGCACCTTCGTATCTGCAAAGCCCCAAAAAAAATTTAAACTCAAGAAAATCACAAAAGTTGAAGAGAACACTCTGGAAAAATTCGTTACCACTCTCCAAAGTGTTCAAAAAATCCTCATTCCACCGGAGTTCAGCCATGAACTCCTCGTTCTGAAGGAACATGGCTATTCTCTCGTCCTCGAGCATGGAGTTGTCCTGAACCCCGGGATCTCCATCAGGCGCCTCCAGCTGCTGTGGGATCCTGAGGAAGGTGTCAGGTAGGGGACCGAGCAGGGGTGGCTGCCACTTGCTGATGCTTTTCTGAACCCTGACGTCGGTTTTCGAATTCTTTGGGGACTTGGTGTCCTCTGACTGCTCCAGCTCACTCCTGATCTTCTCGTTCTCGTTGTCGGTGCTCATCGCCAGCAGCTGATCGATCGTTGTGTCGACTGCCCCCTGATTCGATCGAAGAACAGCCTGAGGATCACAAGACCATTTTTTCTACAATTTTTTTTTCATCATCTTATTAAGGGCATGATTATCTCCGTAATTATTCAGTGTAGGGTAAAATATCATAGAACATTTTTTGTTGGAAATTGAATTCTCTACAAAAAAGGTTTTACGACTTTTTCCCCTAAACCCACTCCTTCTCGAGATAATCCAACAATTATAAAAAATCAATAATTCCCTCAAGAAAAATTTCATTATCTCGATAACACATGTCATTCATCATAAGATTATTTCGATAATTATTGAGTTTAGGGGAAAATGTCAAAGAACATTTTTTGTTGGAAATTAAATTCCCCACGGAAAATGTCTTACGACTTTTTCCCCTAAACCCACTCCTTCTCGAGATAATCCAACAATTATAAAAAATCAATAATTTCCTCAAGAATTAATGTTACCTCGATAACATCGTCATCCATCTGCGGGAACATATTTTTGAAATCAGCCATCGCCTGGTAGAACTCCAGGGTGGTCTGCTGCTGCTGTTCAGCAGCTGATGCCATGATCGACTCGTCCCCACACCCTTCAGCCTCTCAACGTCATCCTCACTCAATGACAAATCTGTCAGCACACGTCTCCATGCTCAATGTGACACCCACCACCCACTGAACCCTTCCCCTAACAGTCCTAATTAAAACACGTGATAATTATCGCTGAGAGGAACGATAATTAAACGTAGCAGAGGTTATTGTTGCTCTACTCCCTCAGTTGACAGCCGCAGGACGTCCCAATGCGCAGGCGCATGCGCAGAGCATTATTTCAAAGTGGACAAAAAAATAATTCCATCCTTCATCAAAAGAATTTCAATATTTTTTTCCATTTTTTATCAATAATTTTATCTATCAACTATACATAATTTATTTATTCGTTCTATTTTAATTTTTAAGTGTTAATTGTTGCTCTGCGCATGCGTGAACCACCGCGCATCCGCCTGCGCACCTCAGCCATTCCCTGGTGCGACGCCATCTTGGTTAGATCAGTTGCCGGCCGGTGATCATGAAAAGCGGACGCGTCGAGTGAAATTAGTGGGGTTGAGGGCAATTAGGGAACTATTAATGTGTAATTAGTGATCTAGAGGGGTCACGAGGCTCTAATGAACATAAATAAACTGTGGAGTGAGGATGAAAGATCATTATTCGTGCGTATTTGGCCAATGTCGGACTAGTGTTACCTCGTGTCGAGTGTTGTGCCATGACGCCATCTTGTTGAGGTTAGTTGCCGGCGAGTGATCATGGGAAATGGACGTGTTTCACAGTTTGTCGAGTGGAATTGACGAATTTGAGGGCAATTATGGACCGATTAATGTGTAATTAGTGGCCTAAGAGAGGCTTGAAGCCCTAATGAATAAAAATAAAGTGTGAAATGAGGGTTGGAGGGCAATATTAGTGTGCATTTGGCCAATGTCCCACCGGTGTTACCCTGTGTTGACTGTTTAAGGCTCAATTAGTGAAGGATTCAGTGATAATTAGTGATAGTTAAGACGTGAGATGGGGTTTTCTGTGGTGTTGGCTGACGGAAAGCAGTTCCTGACGTTCCGGAGGCACCAGCAGCCGATAAAAAGGTCAGTAATTTCAACATTCTCTCATAACCTCGGAAAAAGTGTAAACAAAACCTCGCGTGCGTCAAAATGAGTGAATCCACTGGCATAAACTCGATTCAGAGGAAATTTCTCTCGTGTTTTCCCATTTCTGCGTTTAATATACCCCAGAAAGTAGATTTAAAGGGGCAGATAGAGATTTTTAATGCAACTGTGGGCGACTCTCGGGTTCTTGAGTATCCGATCAAGCGCGAGTATCAACGAAAATTCGTTCGAAAGATTATAGAGTCGTTGGAAAATGATGAGAACAATGAGATTTATGAATTGTTTTATGAGGCTCTTTGCGAGTTCTTGTCCAAGGGCACTGGTGATGATGAAAAAACTCACTATCGTCATTTTCTCATGGGAAGTGAGGGGAACATTGACAGGTTGATCATTCAGGAGAGCAGGAGCTTGATTTCTGAAGGAACTACTGGGCTCTGTAGTTGGCAGGTGATTAGAAATCAATTGAAATTTTTTTTCAACCGAAATTTCGAAGTTTTGGGCATTTTTTAATTTATTTCCACATATTTTTCATCTATTCTATGATTTCCCAGTTGTAAATGTTGAAATATCGCGGTTGTGAGGGGCTTTAGGAGAAAATTCCGAAACTTTCTTTTTGGAAATTTAATTCTCCACAAAAATTGTCTCTTGACAATTTCTCTCAAGTATGTTCGTTCTCCAGATAATTGCATAATTGTGGAAAAAAATTCAAGTTCATGGAATTTCTAGAAAAATCATTTTCAGTTCCCCTTGTGATGGAAATTGAATTGACAATGGGTTTTTTTGGGTATTAGGCAGCTCTGGCACTTGGTGAATGGTGTGTCCTCCACAAAGACTTTCTGAAAACAAAAAAAATCTTGGAACTGGGGTCAGGAGTAGGATTAACAGGTCTCACAGTCTTGAGTCGCTGTTCCCCAGAAAAATTTATTTTTTCCGACTGTCATCCCAGTGTTTTGACCCTCCTGAGGGCCAATGTCCATCGTCACTCCCCAAAAATCAATCCTCCCCACGAAATAATCGATTTACCGTGGGAAAATATCGACGAGAACTTGGGAAATCGTCTGGATGTCGATCTGGTAATCGCAGCTGATGTCATTTACGACAAATCCCTCTTTCCCTCGTTGATCAACGGTTTAAAAATACTCATATCTTCCGGGCACTGTTTCGGGGTCATTGCAATGACTGTCAGGAACGAGGAAACTATCTCAGAATTTTTCCAACAACTGAGTGAGTGATTTCTGCCATTTAGAGTTCTTTTTTCATAAAAAAATGCACTTCAAGTCGTGAAAAATGGATTAATTACAGGATTTAATTCTCTTTTAGATTCTGGGGGATTCAGTTATGAGGAAACAGACACTCCGGAGTTTTCAATATTTATTAGAAGTGATGATACTCCAGTCAAAATAATTAAATTATTTTACTCCAATAAAAAGAATTGAGAAAAATCGAGTGAAAGTTTATTCGGGAAACTAGTGGATAAAATTGATCGACCCCAAAATTATTTTCAGACTTAAGTTTATTCAACTACAGTGTACATAAACTACGAAAAAAAAGGAAAGAAATTATTTCATAAATACAAAGTACAAAGGGTATTATCAAGGAAAAATATTATTTATAAAAAAAAATATTGATGTATTAAATATTGATTTGACTCTTAAAATATAAATTTGAGATTCTACATTTCACGTGGATGTTCAATGAGTGTGCTAAATGATATGATATTAGAACCATTTTTTCTTATTTTGGCGTTTAAGCTTGACTTCAGTCTCATCCACGTCCTTGTCAGCGTCCTTCTTGTGTATTTTTTTCAGATGTTTGTCGAGAATTGTTCCCTTGATCTTCAGTTTCTTGGATTTTTGAGGTTTTGGGGAGAATTCGAGGTCTTTCGTCAAATCTCCTTTGCTTTTAGCTGTAAAAATTGAAGTAACATTAATTTTTTTTCAATGAAGCAATCATTTCCATGTTTTCATAATTTTCAACATGTTGATGATTTTTTTAAAAATAACGATCAACATTTTCAACTTTATCAACATCATCAACTTCCCAAAAACTAATACTTTTCATCAACACCTTATCAACCCAAATTTTCTCAAATTCCATAAGGCTCTTCTGCACAACTAAAACGCCTGACCGCCTTCATCAACATCATTATCAACCTCAAGTGTCTCTGACATTCTTGAATCATAAATCAACTTCAATCATTTTAGAATCTAGTAGCGGGCCTAATTCAAGAGAATGAACAGGGAAGTCAAGGGGATTAAGGGTTGAATAGGTTGAATAATCGTCAAATTACCTGCATAAAGTCCCATATGCATGTTGATGCTCTTGTCCTCTTCCACTTCCCTCCGCCTGTCCATCTCTAGGCACTCAACAATTTCACTTCTCCTCTCAACAATCTCCACAAGCCTCTGAATGAGTTTCTCCTCCCTCTGCTTATCAAAATCAGTCTTAGTGGCCTCGGGTTGACACATGAGACACCTTATCTGGTACTCAATGTCCGCGTGCTCCTCCTCGAGTCTCTGTTGTCTCTTCAGCAGCATCAACTCCGCCTGTCTCCTAAACAATTCATTCTTTTCATTGACCAATGAGAACAGCTCGAGCACGAGTTCCTCAACGTCCATTGTCATGTTGTCATCCCTCGGGGGTTCATTGTCATGATCATTCTCACATCTGTCTCGTATCAGTTGCTCCAGTCTCACTCCCTGTCTCTCGAGCCCCTGCTGCTGCATCTCAATCTCGTCTAGCTCCAATTTCACATCCTTCATCGACATCACCTTGATCTTACGCCTTTGTGGCACTGGACGCGCCGGTGCTGGACCCTTTTTACGCTTCCACTTGCCTTGGGTACTCTTGTCGGAGTAGGAGAAGGAGTCGTCGTCATCAACTGGAGCTGGAGACCTCTGAGACTGTTTAGATTTATTCGATTGGTTCTTTGAGATTTTTTCCTCCTCCCAGGAGGGAGGGGACGTCAGAGACAGCGTTGATAAGAGGCTGGTGGGAAGTGGTGGAGGCGGCGCTGGCTTTGATTTTCTGGGTCTTGGGGTTTTTACTGGTGAATTCTGAAAAAATAGAAATTTTTCATTTTTGTGGATTTTTTTTTATTTATCTCGCTTATCAACATGTTGAAGATTTTTCAACATGGTGATAGATATCAGCATGTTGATAAACATCAACCTGTCAATGATTTCTTATAATAAAACTCACATTTGAAGATTGTGGGGATTTAATGTCAGAAATACTCGTTGAAACTCGTTCATTACCAACTGGTGGTGGTGGTGCGGGCTTTCTCTTTCTGTATGTACCCCCGGGTGTTGTAGTAGTAGAACTGGAACTTGCCAGTGAACTGCTGGAGGCGTACAATCCAGCTCGTTCTAAATTCCCCGGAATGTCCCTGAAAAAAACAGAAGTATTAAAATAAAAATAAAACAGAAAAATTTCATCAACCTCAACTCATCAACATCCTAGAGTTCTCAATAATAACATTACCTGATCGTCCTTGGTTTTGGAACTGGAATGACCTTGGGCGCCTCACCATCACTCTCCCCCTCTTCGTCATCACTCCAGAAGGGGTTGAGGTTGATGTGCGGTGCCTGGAGTCTCCTTTTGACGGGTTCAGTTGAATCAGTTCTTCTCCTAGCGGCAGGTGTTGGCACTTTCTCCTCTTCATCGTCTTCACTGCTGCCAAAGGGATTTGTTGACACTTTGGGGGTTTTCAACACTTCTTGGGTGTCAATCTCGTTATCATCATCATCGCTGTGGAATGGATTCATATCCTCGGGGTATTCAACACTCAGATCAATTCCTTCCGCATTCAATAATCCGACGTCTTTATTTTTATCATCGTCTTGAGGATTATCAAGGTGCTTAATTTTATCAACCTTATCAACTTCTACTTCTTCAACATCTCGTGATGACTCCAACAAGTCCAACGAGTCAGGCTCTACACAATCATCATCATCAACTTGTTTATCAACATCATTATCAGCCTCACGTAAACTATTATTTCTGCTCAACACCTCATCAACACCAATTCTCTCAAATAACTTGAGTCTTTTCTGTACAACTGAAAGGCACTGACTGGCTTCATCAACATCATCATCATCATTATCAACGCCAAGTGTCTCTTTGGTATCCTTGCACACAATTACATCATCAACATTTAATTCAACACTTGTTACATCAACCTCATTATTATCATTAAAATTAGGGGGTAAATTGTCTCTCGGGGGTTGACAACACTCGCCGGGAGATTCAATGATTGTTGAATCATGAGGAATGGGGGGTGGGGGATGAGCGGGAACTGAGTCAACAGTTGATGACTCGAGTTGATGGGACATAAAGTCAAGTCTCATTCTCGTTGTTTTTGACGGATTTTCATGGATTTTTTTCGTTTTCTCTTCGTCACTCAGTGATCTAGGGGTGGGAAGGGGAGTCGAGGGAATCGAGGGAGTTGATAGGGCGGTGGAGGGGGGTGAGGATAGGGGAGTTGATTTATCCTCGTCGGGACATGTCTCACAGCAGAAGTCACCTTCCTCTGTCTCGTAGAAATTTCCAGGTGTGAGTTGATTCGTACAGCGGGCACATTTGAAACACGTGCGGTGATACGTGCGTCGGGTTATCACTAGTTTTTCGGCGAGAAATACCGGGAGGGCGCACACCGCGCAGAGCTCCCGACGCATACCCAGACGTGGCATTACCTGGGGAAGAGCGAGTTGATGAGTTTTTGAAGATTATAATTGGAAAGGCGGGGATTAAAGATAAAAAATTATTGCTCGGGGCATGTTGATAATCGTTTAGTTGATGATTTTTCAACGTGTTGATCATTTTCAACATGTTGATTTTTTTTCTGTAACTCATAAAATAATGGGACAAAACAGGTTTTTTTTCAAATCGAGGAAAAATTCTTTGGGATGGGATGGTTTTTTTTTAATTATGGAAGGTGAGATTTTTTTTATTTTTAGCAAATTGCAAGGACTTAAGAGACTAATTTTCGATAAGAGCTTTTTTTACGGTCGTGGACACACTTTCTAGATGCGAGTCGAGGCCAGTGGCACGTGCATTTGCTAAAACCTGTTGGCAAGACATTCCTCTTCTATTTATTTTTTTTCTCGTGGTTTTGGATATTTTTATTTAGTGGAATTGTCGGACATTAGTACGCAAGCTGGTTGTTTCGATAAAGAGTTAAGTGCTTCCTTCTACTTTTCCTGTGTTCTGTGATAAGAGTATTTATCGTCGAGACTTTTATTCAACTATTCATTTTTTTTTTATTCTAATTGTGAAAAGTTGTGGAAAGAAAAATTGAAGAGTGAAGTTTTCAATTTTTTGTGATTATCCGATTATCTCGGTAATGAGTGGCTTCAGGAAAAAATATCAGAAGACATTTTTTGTAGAGAATTTAATTTTATATGAAAAACGTTGAGCGACATTTTACGATAAAATCAATAATTACCGAGATAATTCTCAATAAATGAGAAAAAAAATGAAAAAATTATCTTCGCGTAATTTTGTTTTTATGCCTTGAAAAAAAAAAGTGTAATAAATTACTCTAGAGTTCAACGACACATCACTAACCGTTTCACGCTGTATGACGCACTATCTCCAACTACTCATCCCCATCATGTACATTATTCCTTTTATTTCTCTCGCCTCGTAACAGGCGCAACGTTCAATTGACTTTAATTATTAACTGCACATTGCAGACCGTGACATCAGGCGAACGAGGGGAAAAAATAGTGTAACGTTCCTTTTTTCTTATCCATTTATTTATGATGAATAGAGGATGGAAAAACAAAAATTTGTTAAACGTGGCCGGCGCTGCGAGGTGCCGCACGAGCACTGCCTTCGATAATTTTTTCTATTCAATGCAGGCGCAGCGCGTGCGCATTTTGCGCCACTTGCATGAACCATCGCAGACTTACGTGATTATAAATAGGGACAAACATGTGCGTTTATCAAACACGTAACCTCCACAGAATTAACAAAACCAAAATAATCAATTCTCTGAATTTTTTTCCCATTTTCTTTGAAAAATCTAGATTTTTTAAAAATCGAAATAGACATCCAGAAGTGATGAAGGATTTCGAATATTCTCATTCGATAGATCGGAAAAAAATAACTGGATTTGAAAAAAAGACAGCCCATTTTGCCACATTATTTTAAGAGTTACAGAGAAAAAACGAAATTGTCATAATTTCGTTTTTTTCAATTATCTCAATAAATAATGGGGCAAAACGGATTGTTTTTTTTTTCAACTTCAGCGCATTTTTTACGATCTATCGAATGAAATTATTTTCAATTCTCAATCATTTCAATTTATTGTTTTTGATTTTGGAAATGTTAAATTTTTTTAATGAAAAACGAGAATAAGCAAATTTTTCGTTGGCTTTTTCCACAGGAAATTTGTTTTTCCGTGAAACGGGGTCACTTCCCATTCCGGTGGGCTCTTCATAAAGTGGGTTTTGAGCATTTAACAATGGCCTTTTATTTGACTTTAGCCAGTGTCAGGGGTCACACGAGTTTACATTTCACCTCTCCATTGACACATATTCATCAATCAAAAATAAACACACGCACGGGAAGAGACTATTGTACGCGTGAAATTTGTTTTTATTTAGCATTCAATGCGAGACGCTACTCTCCCGTCTCCAGTCATTCACCGATAGTTATACGTGACCAAGATTGATAATTTATACTATTTACGTGATACGACTTAATGTTAAATTCACGGGATAGAGGGGAATACAAGTACGTCGAGTTTATTTGAAAATTTTATTTAAAAATTGGCTTGAAAAACACGAGAAAAAAAATTCGATGATTATTTTTAAATTGTTAATGATAATTAATTGTATAATTAATGACTCAATGGGTGGATTTAATAAGGGGAGAAATTTGAAACAATTTTTCCCGGTGGTTAGTCTCAATTTTTCCTCAATTATACGATTAAATCCCAGCAATTATGAGTGAATGAGGAATGAAGACTGTAAAAAATGCAGTTGTTTTTTTTTTCTTCTTCTTCATGATTGAAACAAGACCCACTGGCCTCGTTGTCTCGTACATTACCACTGTTGTACCATAAAAATTCATTACCTACACATATTTTCAACGAGACGTTTTTAAACGCACTAATCGATGCCAATGGCTGTCGTCAGTATTTCATTATGCAATTGCACATTGTCATTATTCGATGAATGCCCGGTACAATCTTGAATCGCTATACAGGGTATGTGATTAATTAATATTTATTGCCATTGATTTCTCACCGCAAAACACAACAAAAGACAATGGTTCAACTATTTTCACGGCTTTTTTTTTTCTTTATTCACATTGAAATGTCGTGAGAACATGTTCATTATGAGGGGAGCTTTAATACTGGGGGTAATGAGTGATGTGTGAGGGGAAAGATCGGGGAAAATCTCGTGGGATTGAAAAAAAAATAATTTATTTTGACCCAGTAGAACGGGAGAAAATCCTAAATCAAATTTTATCGATCGTTTTTATCGATTTCTATATGGGGTCTACATTTTTTGCTGTAACTCTGGATCTATGGGGGCAAAATGGATAATTTTTTTTTTATTCGAAAGCTAAGGAAATTATCCCGCTAATTGAGAAAATGATAACCCATTTTGCCCCAGCAATCATAGAAAAAATCATAAAGTTTTGTTGATTCTCTTAGATCATTTTTGCTTCTTTTGCTGTAACTCTGGTTCTACAGAGAGTAAAGTACATTTTTTAAATTTCGGGTTAAATTACCTCTCCCACAACATGGAGTCACAATAAACCCCCCACCCCCAAAACCCCGATTAATGTAGTGAAGTTAGGCAGAAAGCATGCAACTAAAATTAATAAAACAACTGATAAACAAATAAAAGCAATAATTAAACAATAAAAACGATGAAAGCTTGTAAAATTACCTTCTAGCAGAATATTTCAGGTTTATATTGCCCCATTAAGTCCAAGCTCTCCTCCTGGAGAAAAAAAAATGAGAAGTATTTTTTTTTCGATTTTTATTCTGTTTATCTGTTATCAAAGAGCCCGACGCTTTCATCATCGCGAATGTTCATTGTTTATTATTAACGTCTTGGAGATTTTTCTTTTTCATCATTGCAAATACTTAACACAGACGGTACGCTCTCGTGATCTACGTCGGGCCGACTAAACTTGTGCGGATGGGGAAATTCATGCGCGCATTTGAATGCTCTCGAGCCTCTCTCTCTCTCTCTCTCTTTCTCTCTCGTTCTCTCTCTTTTTCTCTCTTGTAGTTGGAATCGTTACTTATGTGTGAGGGAATTCAATGTGAACGAACGGGTCATACACGCGAGTATTATGCGCTTGCCGATGGCACAGGAGATAGAGAATTATTATTTTTTTCCTCTTTTCAATGGTTTTTCGAGAAGGATTACAGACGTTGCGCTCTGAATGCTAATGGAGTGATGGAGGTTTCGATTTTATCCGGGGTTTGTGGGGCAATGGGTGGGTATGGAAATTTTGATGAAAAAAAAAATTAGGGGGAATGATTTTTTGAGGGTAAAATTTTTTTAAATGAGACATTTTTTTGTCTTTTTTTTTTCCCCAAGAGTGACAATTTTTCGGGCATGAGTGGGGCTTCGGAAGATGCAAAAGTACTTTTTGGATTTTTTTTTTAGGTTAGAAATGTTAATTTTTGAGTTTTTTTGACGTTTTTGGATGATTTTTTGAGGTTTGAAAAATTGTTTTTGAATCGTAAAACATTTTATGTTCCTCGGCTCGAAAGACCGCAATTTTAGGGCTTGCTGGGTTAAAATGTGATTTGCCACTTGGCCGAAAAAGTATTTTCTGACTCATGCGATTATAATCCTCACACACATTCGTTAGAATAATACATTATGTCATCAGTCGATAAAAGTATTATCGTCTTCGGTTCGGATTATGATCCCATGAGTCAGATAATACTTTTATCGCCGTGTGACACAATACTTTATGTCATACGGTCAGAAAACCACGATCTGACCGAGTGAAGTGAGGTAAAGATCGTGGTTACGATCGTAAAAAGTATTTTATGTCGGAAAAGAATTTCGAAATAAAATACTTTTCAGACATTGCGATGAAAATGACTATTTTATGCGTAAATGCCGGAATAAAATTTTTCAAGCATAAGGGGGAGCTGTGAGAGAATCAGAAATGATGATTTTAATGTTTTTTTAAAGTTAGAAGAATTGTTTTGACGATTTTTGATATTATATATCTTCTAATGCATGAGAACTGCATAGATAATCATAAAAAAATAATACACCCCTGGAATACCTCCGGAAACGTCTTTTTCCCGTAATTACCCCACCCAAAGCAAGAAAAAGATGAAAAAAAAAAATAACACCAAAAGAAAATAGGAATTGGATGCGGAAGTGAATGAAGTAGAGGGCAATGACGTCTGACTATTCTCGAGGAGTTGAACAGAAAATCGTGTTTGCCACGAAGATAAGTCCGTTTGAGTGCCCGGTCGGCATCTTACTTGTACCAAGAACGTACAACTCCCGTTCCACCTTTTACTCCTTTCTGCGTCCTCCTCCTTATGCTCCAGGTAGGAACGAAAATTATCGGTCTCTAGGCAAGCGCCTTCGTACCGCGTATAAAACCCACGGGTAACTCCTTCTGACCATTTTTTTTCTCTCCCTTCTTCCTCTTGACTTTTTTTTTTCATTTCCCCTCTTATTACGGAGCTCGGTCGTGGCCTGAAGAGACGTCAAGTCGAGGGAAAATGAGAGAAATAAAGGGAATAAGGAAGAAAATACAAATTGATGGGTTCAACTCCTTTTTTTAGTTGAAGGGGTGGGGGTGAGGGGTCAATAGTAACCCCAATCAACAGATGGAAAAACGTAGTATAAAGTTGAAAAAAAATCGATCCGTTTTGCGTCAGTACTTTGGGAGAAAATCCTGATTGAATTTTCATGGATCATTTATCGATTTTCTAGATCATTTTGACATTTTTGGCTCTAACTCGGGTTCTATGGGGGCAAAATGAATATGATTTTTTTCATTGGATTGATGGAGGCATTCGCCATCAAATGAGAGAATACACGATTCGTTTTGCCACGCAATGTTTATCCATCGTTTATCGATCGCTGGATCATTTGTGTTTTTGGCTCTAACTCGGGTTCCGTGGCAGCTAAATAGATCGTCTTTTTTTCAATCTTGTGTAATTTTTTCCGATCTATTGAATGAGATAATTTTCAACTCCATATTTGATTGCGCAAGAGAGTGGCTTTTTTGAGAGATTTCGTTTCTAGAGAAAGTCATTCATTTGTGCAACAATTTTTTGTCTCAAGGGAAAAAAAAAAACACTTCAACTGCCGCATTTTTACCGGAAATTATCGAGATTCCAGGGAGTCATGAGCGTGTATTTACCGTGTACACAGCCGCTGGTTTTATCAGTACACTCGGGAGGGACTTGAAGAATTGAAAAAAAGAAATTAAAAAATTTCACTCCACTTGCACAACACGATAAACAACACTTACGAGCACACAATAATCCCTTGCAAAATAATGAATAATTTACGTAGAACATAAGCACAATGATTACCTGTCCCTAATCCCCTACTCCAATTAATTATTCCTAAAATTTCCCTTAGAGACAGGTAAAAATCGTAAGCTCAGAAGCGATCTGATGATGATGAGCAATAATGGGGTCGATAGTCACCCCATCCGATAGATCGGGAAATTTATCCACAAATCACTAAAAAAGACAACCCATTTTGCGCTTTTATTTTCGGAGTTGCAGCCGAAAAAACGATTTTGAGTAAATTTCCTTTTTTGTCGATATCACTGGAAATAATGGGGCAAAATGGGTCGTCTTTTTGTCAATTTTTGGAACTTTTTCAGATCTATAGAATGAGATCATCATCGACCCCCCCCCCACTCCAATTTGAGTTTATTTTCATCTTGTTTTTTTTTATTTTATCTAATTTGATCAAATTTCTAATTAAAATGGATGACGTGAGCGAGACCACGTGGATGCAATGAATTGAAAAGAAAAATAATAGAAACAGATAACAGGCGGACAGTACAGAGAATACAAAGAGAGATAAAAGAATGAGAAATTGAATAATGAGAGAATGAAAAAGAAGTTGCTGATAAATATACATGTGAGTCTATCGTATTACCTTTGGCTGTGGGGACTCAGTTACGGGTGTCATTCCTTGGCTCGTGTTCTCGGTCGATCTGCTGAGGGCTAGTCTACTTGGTGATGAACCTGTTGATGATTAAATAAACGTCATTAATGGATAAATTAAACTGCAAAATTGAATTGAAAAAAAATTTTTTTTGTAACTGCCTCCAGAATTTTAGCGCCTTAGGGGGTGGGGGTGAAGGGTCGATAGTCATCACATTCGATAGATCGGAAAATTTACGTGGAAATGAAAAAAAAAATTACTCATTTTACCCCCATAGAACCGGAGTTAGAGCGAAAAACGTGAAGAGGATCTAGCAATCGATAAATGATCGATGAACATTGAATTGGGATTTTCTCAGGATCTAACAGCGCGAACTGAGTCGTTGTTTTTTGTATCTGTAGGTTTTTCTCGGATCTGTCGGCTGAGGTCAATGCCAAACCTCAGTATTGCGCAATTTTTTTTATTCATGTTTTTTTAATCTAAAATTGAAAGACGAGAGATTGAATTTTAATTATTCAAATGTCATTGTTATTATGTTCAATTAGTTAAATCACGTACTCGTTGATGTTTTTTTTTATTTGTAAATTCAGGACGTAGAATAATTTAACGGTACACGAGAGTTATTTTCTTGTGAAATATAAATTCACCGTATGATGCAATATGAAAAGGAGAAGAGGAAGAAAAAAAGGAATGAGTGGAGGTACTTCAATACAAAAGGTAAACACGTGAGACCTTTTCCACGAGGATTCTACCTCACCTGTGTGGAATTGCGAAACTCCGATGGTTTTATATGTTACGAGAACGATCGCGCGCTTGAGCGCGCATCCTAAAGACAAATCATGACACGAAAACCGAAAGCCGAGCGAAGTCGAACACGTGCGGGCGGATCCGAATGTTCGACCAATGAAATTCGAGGAATGAGCGTTACGGTGTATGTTCTTTTTAGAATAGGATCTTCTTAGAATAGGATACTTTTGAGAGTTCTGAATAGTCCGTCGCTTAAATAGTTGGAATCAAAGTTCACCCGGCTAAAAAATTCGATTTTGGGGAAAGTCGACTTTGCCCCTGGAAAAACGGAAAATCTGACCCTTTGAAAATCTGAAAAAAAAAACTTTTCCAGTTTTCACTTTTTCCACATACTTTTGAGAGTTCTGA